TGACAAAATTTGCGGGCACGACGGGAGAGTGTATAATTGTCATCGAGACATTATGATTTCCTTACGCACTGACCGCGGCGCATAATATTTATCGATAAGGAATCGCATTTATTGTAAACAAGGACGGCGTGATAACACGATATTATCGAGTCTGTATTGGTTTTTTCGTCGCGGCTCGGTAAACTAGTGTGAAAACGGAAAAAAAAAAATAATAATATCAACGTACGTCCTCTTACTGCACGCCGTGTCATCGGCGGAGTAACAGTTTCACCAAAAATAATATGTTCACAATGACTGCGCGACGACGTGCGTGTCGAAATTCAAATATTGTAATAATGGGATTTCGACCGGGGATTTTTGTCTTGTTTTTTTTTTTTTTTTATTTTTCGGTAATTTCACAGTGAAACCATCGCGCGTGTGACCCCCGAAATCGTCCGATAGTTTCCAGAAAGTTATTTAATTTCCGGCAACGTATCCGTAGGGTCGGCTTTTAATACCCTAAACATTTACCCATCCACCCATAATAACAATATATATTCCGCGTTAACGTGCAGGGCGCGGTATAATCATAGTTGACGGGACGGTGGGATGATTTTTGTTTCGCCTTGTTGTTGAATAAAACTAATGTTTCGGGATCTTGTACGAAATGTTCGATATCGCTGCAAAAATATATTAGGGCTGGAATTTCGAAATTACGTGGCTCTTCTACTGTTTTTTTTTTGAGATTGCTTTGCGAAGCTCGTTTTGTTACAAAAAAAATCGCACATTTTTTATTGAAAATAAGAAATCTTGGTTTGCGTATTTCGACATTTTTTTTAAATTCCCAAGTCATTTTACAGATGCGTTTAAGGACTTAGTGAATTTTTTGAGAGGAATTTTCAGATCCAGCTAAAAAACTCGAATTATCGAACAATATTAATATAAAAATTCGGATATCGAGAAACTCGTCTTGTTGTAAATTCGTCTCGTGTATTTTCAAACGTGATTTTTTCGTAGGTATTTTTCAACCGTTTTTGATTTCAAAGGCGTTTTTTATCATTTCATAGGTGTATATAATATTATTGTCTTGGCATTTTGTGGGATAAAAGTACGTTCGGGGTTTAAATTCCGTTCTCAGCCCTAATAATATCAAAATACAATATAAAACATACTGTATTACTATACGTTATTTTAATAAAACACGGTAAAAAAAAAAGAAGATATGTAGATTTGGGTTTGAAAAAAAAAAAATTGCAAAATATAAGCGAAAAGCTGTGGGTCTGGGCGCACGGTAAAATTGTATGTGTATGCATTATATAGTTTGCCCGGGGTCCTGGAAAATGTGCTCGACTGACGGAAGGTACAAATCTCCTCTCCCCTGCTCTCTTCCCCCTCACGGAGCTCGCCGTTGAGACGACCGCCTTTTTCGAGCCAAGCTAAACAATAGTCGAACGTATACACTCACACATATACATATATATATAAGTACTTGGGGTGCGCGGCGTACTTAAATGTATTGTTTCGGCACGTCATAACAGATTTCGGTTTTCCACGTTAATAAGTTTTACGGGTTTCGAAAGCTCTCCATTTGTGCGTGTGTGTGAAGATATGTGTGTGTGTGTGTGTGTGTGTGTGTGTTTGAGTGTGTGCACTTCTTTAGCGATATATATTCTTCCACGAGTTTATACTATTCGATCGTGATCAACAACAACAACGACGACGACGACAACGGCGACGGAAATAATATCCGTCGCACCGGCCAGGTGTTCGCCACGCAAATCTTTTTATTTTTATTTTTCATGTAAACCGCCCGAGAATTTATTATTCTGTAAATTTCGTATCAAATCGGACGATTCACCAGGGGCGTCTCCGGACCTTTGCTATAGAATTAATGATTGATAAGAAACAAAAATGATTTCAATTAATATATTGATTATATCTACTTCTGGACCAATTATTATACCAAATGCCAATTAAAGTCCACTTCTCTCGGGTATAGGGTGGCCGATCATCCCCATCACCTTCCCATAAGGACGCCCCTGCGAGTCTCTTGCGTTCTCCGCGCAGCGTCAAGATTATCATTAGAAACGGGCCAGTATCATTTCTCGATTCTTTGTCGTACAAATTGTGTAACGAGCGTTTGAAGTGTTGTTGTTCGTTTCTCGCGTCGTTGTTTACGCCTTTGAAATTTCCATTTTTGTTCATACCGATTTTAATAGAGTAAATATAGTGTGTAAACTATTATTCTTTGATTATGTCCATAGTAAAAACAGAAAAACCGGTATAGGTATCGAGAATCAAATAACGAATTTTTTTAAACCGGGCAAGAACCGGTACCAATGTTTTTGAAGAACCAGCCTATTCCTTTTTATTATTACTAAGATATTTATTGTTATATGTGCGACGACGTCAGCAAAGTCTGTAACTTCATAGGTTGTCACAGAATTCTCGAGAGGGCAATACTCCCTGTTGAGCTGTCCTATCAATGCTGTCTTCCGTATTCAAGAGTTAGCGTGTACACTATTTTCTTGACATTTTTCGTAAAATGAAATTTTTATAGACTTTAAAATATTAAAACTCTCTTTTAAATACGTTCACAAGTAGTGCCATGTTATTATCAAAAGTATTAATTGCGTAATAGTATAACGAACAAAAATGTTAATTGATTCGCGCGAGCAAAAATTACTCGGGCTACGCACTTAGGTTAAGAAACCAAATTTGTTCGATAAAACAAAGAAAATGTTCACTGCATAGAACACGTTGGTTTTAGTTTTTCAATAGGTACCTGAACTATTGCGTAATAAATTATTCGAATAACTGTTTTGTTGTGTATAAAATATCAAACAAATAAAACCAACGTTGCACTGTGCAAATTTTGCCTTTTTTACGGTGAAAATTGTATTTCTTAATTAAGTCTATAGCCCGGAGTGTTTTTTCCACGCGTAAAACCGTTTTTTACAGTACAATTACGAGTCACAGCACTCTCTCATAATTCTAAAACGCAAACTATTTAAATTTATTGTAATGTATATGTATTTACATAGGCCGAAAATATTGACTCGGTCCAGGCCGGTCTTTTGTGCGTTTATATGAGTCCTGCACGGTTTTTTATTATAGTGTTTCAAGCATGAAAGCCCAGCTTGGGTTAAAAAAAAAACCTTTTTTAAAACGAGCCCGTCCTGGATTTTCTCGCTGGTATTGGTTTACTGTAAGAGTTATGCATCTGTTATTTAAAAATTAATATAAATTGACTGCTCTTTCCTACTATTCCGATCTAAATTTTAAAATGTTATAATATATGAATTATATGATATTTTCTATACTAGTATTACGCCTTTTAAATTTTTTAGACAAAAATCTTCTATCTGAATTTGTGTTCAAAAATAGGAGTTTATATTTAAAATCCAATGTGCATGCTCATTTTATATATCAGAGAATAGCAATACAAGGTTAAAAATATTATTGAAAATGATTCCAAAATTATTAAAAAAAAAAAACACAATAAAAATCAACTTCACCCAAATAGTTCAGAAAAATCGCTGGTATATGATAAATTGATCACCTATCTACAAGTATAAGCATATGTACAGTATACAGATTTTATAATCAAAAGTTAATACCCATTTATTGTGCCTATAAAAGAAAGCTAGAACCAGTATTGGATTTTGGAAATAGTGTTAAAATTAAGGTTGAAACTGTTCAATAAAGAAAAAAATAAACTTAAATATACTGGAGGAAATTAGTGGATCACGATATAAAAATAATAATAATAACAATCACCGTTTAGTGTATAAGTAAACAAATGGGTCGACTATCGGTCGGCTTGGCCGATCGGTCCGTTTATTAAAAGCGTTTAGAAATTATTAAAAAAAAAAATCACCTATTTACGTATAAAGGCAATAAGCGTCACGTGATGCTTCGCGCCGCCACCATCGCGTCGCCAATGCTGCGGAAATAAAAACTTTGAAAGAGGGTGCGAAAAAAATCTAATAAATAACAACTCTGACAAAAATTTAATTAAACGCGATTTAGATGAACGAAAAAAATAAAACCCTCCCCCTCCCTTCCCTCCATATAGTAACACGCAAGCGTGTTTATAATGTATTATTATTGTACGACCGTTTAGCACTCGGCTAATGTGCACGATCAAAAGCGATTATAAGATTATTTTACAGGTACGAAAAAGTTATTAACGCTAAACAAAAAAAAAAAATAAAAAATAAATGCATATAGCTGATATTGTTAATGAGCCACTGTCGGAGGTGCAAAGTTGTAAAGGTAGAACAATGTGTAAACTAATCTGATATATATGTCAAATGGTGTATACGAACATAAACCACTGCTAACGAAAAACAATTCTGAGTTAAATTCGGACACTAAAATATTTTTTTTGAAGAGCGACGTTTATACGATTTTCATAAAAATTTGAACTAATTAACAGAAATTGCTATATTATTAATTAATATAGTTATATAATAAAGGTTATTATTATTATTATTATTTTTTTTTTGTTATCACGCTAAACTAAATAAAATTTAAATACTCTACAATTTAAAATTGCAAAATAAATAACACGACAATAAAATAACCAGCATATTTTGAAAATCGTATCACGACTAGAAATGTTTAATAAAAATGTTCGAAAGAATTCGCATGCTCCACCATTATTTCTAACTGAATAACAAAAAAAAAAAAATAATTAAAAAATAAAACAAAAACCAGTATTCCGTGAATATGCGAATTTATCAGAGTTTTTCGTAGTGGCGGATTCAACGGGGGGGTCGGAGAGGCGAGAGAACCCTGGTCTCCCCTTGACAGTTATATTATATTTGTAGTTGTAATAGTACGAGTTCATAACGGTTATAAATCGTCGTTCAAATTGCGGTTAGCACAACTATTACGATAGCTAATAATGTTAATACTTGATGGTAATCTAATCTGTATTTTATGGGTACGAAATGTCGACAATCGAAATATCGGAAAGTTAAAATGTCGACGGTCGAAACATCGACAAGTACAAAATGTCGACCGGTCATTATACCGACAAGTACAAAATGTTGACAGGTCAATATATCGAAAAGTACAAAATGTTGAAAAAAAAAAAAAAAAATGTAATTTTATATCCTAACGTTAATATGTTAACGGACGAATGTATAAAGTGAACGGTATTATTTTAGATATTCGGTGGTGTATCCAGCTTTGTATACACGGATAACGACAAAATAAATAGTATTTCCCGTAATTCGCTTGCTCTTGCTTTAACATCACCAGAAGAAATTCCATCAGCGTTCGCTAAAAAACAAGAAAAACTAGATATAGAATCTGACGCGGAAATGAATTCGGAAAATATTATTGGTCAATAATATAAATTGGTCATTGTAATCCGGATCATCCCAGTTTGGCCAACACGGTTCGATCCGGTGTTCAGATCGATTCGTATTAAATTTCCCACGGTATTTTCGAGCTTCCAAGTCTTAATAACGGTCATATCCCGTCTCACAACCGATCCCACTTTGACCATTAATTTTTCTTTTTAGTTCGAACCTTCACCGACACATTCGTTCTACGTCGTTTTTCCTGACCGATCGCCGGTTTTGTTAGATCGACATTCCGGCCCTTACACAGCCGTTGTCCTCTTTCCCCGCACATGCGATTTCTCCTCATCATTACGTCCGTCGGTACGTATTTTAATTCATAGTAAGGCCTCGGCATTCCTTTCGTAGTTCCACTTGGTTTCGATCAGTATCTAAAATTAAAATGTTAAGTTAAAGGGTTTTTTTTTTTTTTTTTTTAACAGTTCTTGTACAAACAATTCATATGATATTAATGATACGCATCGTGTAGGATCGCAATGATTATCGTTGTACAGCATATCGGTCTTCTCGCCGGAACGATTTAATGAAATACGGTGACTTTATGTTTCAGGTGCGTTTGGCGGCCACATAGAATTAACAGCGGTCGGCATGCGGGGCGGCCGCCGCAGCGGCGGTAGTGGACACCGTCAAACTACGGCCACGCGACGTGGACGATTACTGCCGCTGCTGGTTCGGTGGTAACGGTCACGGCGTCAACAATGACGACGACGGTGCCGATGACGTCAACGACAACGGCGCCGGTGATTGCGGCCGCTCTGTAGTGGCCCCTTCGACCACCTCGTGCGCGCCACTCTCATGTCGGCGGCTGTGACACCGACTGCGACGACGACGACGGCGGCGGTGGCGGCGGTCCGATTTGCGGCCGTCGTGACGGCCGCGCGACTACGACCGCGACCACAGATCGCATCTTTCCACAGCGCTCCCGGCGCCCGAGCCGTGCTCGAGCCGGCCGTATAATATTTCGTACGGTACGCCGTAAAACAAGTTCGGCATAGCTGAGTGAAGCTCGCCAACCCGCCGACCTAAACGCAAATATAATAATACGCCCGCACACCCGATTGCCGTGACCCGTTTACCCGGCACCGGAATCAGCGACTAATAACCGCCAACCGCGCCAGCTTCACCTCGGGCGCCGCCGCCGCCGTCGCCGGTGGTGGCCGGACCCGATGAACCGGACCGAGTGCCAGACGCTGCGCGACTCGATGGTGTGGAGAGACGCGCAGGTGTTGGGCGCTCTTGTCGGCTTGTCGTTCATAGCGTTGATCGTGACCGTCGGCAACACGCTCGTGGTGGCCGCCGTGTTCAACAGTTCCAAACTGAGATCGCCCACCAACACGTTCATCGTTTCGCTAGCCGTGTCCGACCTGATGGTCGGCGTGGCCGTGTTACCGTTCAGCGCTACCTGGGAAGTGTTCAAGGTAAAAAAAAAAAAAAAAATTCATTACTATTATTATTATTATTATTATTATTATTGTTATTACGCTCGTGCGTTTAGGATTCACCCGATGACTCGGCGATGTTGCCGTTGCGCAATGGATAAATAAAAATATTAAAAGGATACGTATACCGATGCGGTCGTCTGTCTAGAACTGTGTTTCTCAATGTGAGAGGCGTGAACACGTTGAGGGGGAGGCACGAGCATTTACATTGTACATTTTATGTAAACGAGGAGTAAAACGAATAGTAAATAACGGCCCGTGATCGCGTATCGCTTCGGCTAAAATAATAATCGTAGTTTCAAAAATCCCGTGCCGCTGCGCCGACCGTCGCTACAAAAACAAAAGCCTACAAAAACCTACAAAAACCTAACCAACTTCATTATAAAAACAAAACTACAGAAATCACTCGGTTGTCGAATCACACTCGAAGTGTGCTCCTCTCCGATATCGAACCAAACATAAAACTATTCAAAGGAAAGTGTTTTTGGCTTTTTATTATCATTTTTTACAAATTACAAAATATTATTCACATTACCACGTAATAAAATTTTACCATTTATATTATTGGCGATTACACGAATATTGTGTAGTTTATTTATAAAATATATCAAAAAACAAGATCATCAAATTTTTCAATTTATAGAGTGGTGAGGAGAGGGGGTTAGATTTATGAAAAATCTCGGGGGCGAGGAATAAAATAGGTTTGGAATTACTGGTCTGGAACGACTTAAAATTAGCAATCCCAAACGATTTATCAATTCAACACGAGCATTGAAAATTATCGGCTAAACGTACACTAAATGTAATGTAGTAGATGAAAAGTAAATTATTCCTTTAAATAAAGTTTAAAAAAAAAAATACAAAACAAAATAAATATATTTATTTTAAGCTCTGAATCATCGAGACACATCGACACATCGTACAATACGTGAATTATATTCAAAATTTATTTTTATTCTAATGGGTACTTTATTTTTCTAAAACCACGGCGTGACAAAAAAAAAATAAAAAAGGATGACATACTTCGCACGTGAATGACTCACTGTTATTGGTGAAAAGTTGGGATATTAGAGGGCAAATTCAATGTATATCTGTACGCAACGATTAAAGCCATTGCTAATGAAAAATCGAGTCTGAGCAAAGTTCGGTCAATAGTGTGGCATTGTCAACAATATACATGACACCTTATGGTTTTTTCTACGTTTTTCTTTGGTTTACCCATTTATTGGGAAAACTCATGGGAAAATCAAAAGACTCTCCCTAATGTGCCAACCCAGTTATATTTTTTTTTTTTTAGAAAAAGTAATGTAATTGTAAATCGGAGGAAAATTTCTGGTAGAAAAGTTGTCCACAGAAAAAAAAAAATTAAACATCATTATAAAACCAATGCATTCCTCGCTCCATTTAGAATCGAAAAGAGCCAAAACTGGAAATAAGTGTGCCACTGTTATAGCTAAGAAGTCGGGAAGGTAGGACAGATTAAGTTATTGCATTTATACCTGTAACGATAAACCATTGGTAATGACACACGATTCGGAGCGAAATTCGGTTATACATATGTTTTAAAAGACCGTAATATTTACGATTTTCATCAAAATTTGACATTAAAACTGTAATAAAAATAAACTTTATTTCATTTTTCGGTTTTGCCCAATTATTAAAAAAATCAAAAAACAATTTTCTTACTCACCAACTAAATTAAAAATTTAACACAATAGGTCCTTTGCCGTTTTTCTATTGGAGCAATATTTCTTTTAGAAAACATTGTTTACGGACATGAAAACCAATGAAACCTGTAACGATTGGCACGGCCCGTGACACGCTGTCAATATTTGCTATTTTTTTTATATAATTTTGTTTCAGGTTTTTTACAATTATTTTGCAAACCCCTTGAAAAATCAAAAAAATGAATGCTTAAATGCATCAATTAGATAAAATTTCCTTTCAGAAAATGTTCTACAAATGATACATCGGAACAAGTTTTCCTTTCGAAGAGTTGTTTACAAACGAAAATAACACACATCATAGTAAAACTAATACGCTACGTTCCAAATGTAAAATTATGAAAAATATTCGACTAGGAATGAATGTTTCGTAATAATATTTTTCGCCCATGTCGGTTATAGTTTTGCAAAATCAAATCTGATAAGTTTTTCTAATAATATATTGAATGTACATTGTTTTACAGAGTCCTCAAAGTCAAAAAAAAATATTTTTTTCAATAACATTACTCAGATAAAGGCAAAAGATAATTGAATTTCAATATGAATATTCCCTAGCTTATGCAGAAGGAGGGAGATTTTTTATCTTTTTATAGGTCCCACCAAATTAAGTAAAGGCGATGCATGGTAAGACTATGTGCATTTTGAGGTTTAAAACCCATCCCCAATCATTTTTATGTCCATATTACATTTTTTTTTTTTTTTGAGAAAATTCCGGGATTTAAATACTCCTACTGCCTTTAATGTAACAAAACTCTGGGAATCATAACTATTTTGAATAAACTATTATAAAAAAAAAAAAATTATACATAATATATTATAATGACGATAAGTCGAGTTCGAGAAAACTCGGGTAAATGGAAGTCTGCTGCTCCCGAATGTTTTTTCACACCCGTGTAACCAAAAGAGATCAAAAGTGTAATGAAAAAAAATTATTTTGACTGCAGTTCTTAATATTATATTGTTCACGTTGTAAAGTAATTAGTCACCGTTTACACCCGGGTATCGATTTTGTATTTTTTTTTTTTAGAACCATAAATACTTCATAAGCAGACAAGAGTGCTGCGGCGGTGTTTAGAGTGAAAATGCATTAAAAATAATTAATAATACGCTTGATATATGAATGAGGTCTAAAAAACTAACAACGTTGGAGTTTTCACGAGCGTGCAAATCAAAAGACCCGCGGAACTTTGTCGAGAAGTGTTGGCAACACTTGGCATTTTTGATCGCAATTCTCTCTCTCTCTTTCTCTCTCTCTCTCTCTCTCTCTCTCTATTAATATACTTTTACATATACAATACAATGTGTCTTAATATAAATATCAACGGTCCCGAAAAATTACACAGACTGAAAGGGGGGGGGGGGGGGGTTAATCATTTATAAGAACGGGTAAATTGTGTTTTACTTACGTGTAAAAAATCGATATCTCCGTGGTAGGTATACATTATATACCTACACACCTACCAGGTGTGGGGATTGCAGACGTTGTTGGACGTTTAAAATCAATAAAGTTTGATAAAATTCCTTATAATGTAATCGTAGTATAATATTAATAATAGCAATAGTGTCTGTTTGTCTGCCTGTGCGCAATCTACAGTCGAATCTATCGCACACAGAGGTCAGATGTAAAAAATATACATACAAAATTACACGGACGGGACCAACCGTGTGCCACGCAAACGGACTTCGACTCCGACACGGCGGTATTCGAAATTTTCGGAAGGAAAATTTAAAAAAAAAAACCAGTTATATGAACCTACTCCGCCAGTCCTATATTTTGTAATGTCTTTTTGATACGCATACAATGCTTTAATCGTGCCGTTGCTTATAAAATGTAAAATGCAAAGGATAACCGTACCACTGCCAATGGCCGTCACTATTATAGGGGTTCAACCGTCTGAGATGTGAGAGTGGAGACACTGGAGATTTTTACCAAAATTAATAATCAAAAATTGTTCATTGTTATCGTGGCTAAATAAACAGTTATGTTAGCAAAATAAACAATAAGCGTCGAAATTGACGTCACGCGGCGCACATAATAATACTATAATTATGCATTAAGCATTTCATGAAAAAATTAACTATGGCCGTAGTTTAGTATCAATGGCCACTGTAACGAAAACAAAACTAGTATTTGAATATTGAAATGTAAACAGGAATAAAAGCGACCCAAGCGAACGGAAAAAGTTCTAAAAAATCAGTCTAATTAAAAATGTTTGCATTCCTACTGAAAAACCGAAATGACGCACCCGTGCTCCACCGGCGTCGACGGAGCCGAAAGTAATACGCAATCCAACGGTGCTGCACTAAGTAACCGGTTACTGTGTAGACTATATTACAGTGTTCCTCACGACAACTTTCATTCGTATAATTGTCTGTGTTACGTCATGTGTCACCCCATCTTCGCGGGTTGAATTCCGTGGGAAAAGTACTGCATGTTACGCCTGGTCTTAAACATTTGTGCAAAACTTCAACTCGAACCGTCACAAACTACCGGTTTAACGTGAAGCGGTAACATTCGTCCAAACAGACTTCCTTCGCATTTCTAATATTAATAAAATTCGTTGTTCGCGGGCGAAGAAATAGTTAAAAAAAAAAAAAAAATTACCGGCCATCGGTGGTCAGTGACGGGAACAGAGGGCGGAAATAGCCGGAGTCACGAGTATACGGGTCTTTATTTTTCGAATTTTTTTTTTTTTTCATTCAATATACTGTGCACGAGCAAGACAGCAAGTAATATAATAATAATAAGTATGTTAGGTTAGGTTAGGGTGTGTCGACCGCTATCGGTAGACTCGCGTATTATATTCTACGCACGTTCGTACGGGAATCTTATTTAGAATACGGATTAGAAACACGATACGAAAACGTTGTATTATGAAAAAAAAAAAAACTGCAATTTGACAAAAAATAAATATAACAATAATTTTAGAATTTGTGATTTTGCAATAGTGTTAAATATTGCGGACGTATATTTCGAACGGTATTTACCCGTGTCCCCGTATCTAGTTTGTAAAAATAATTGCGAATTATCTTAAATAGTTGTCTAGAAGTTTTTTCGTTCTTTTCGTAATCAATTTTATTGCAGTCGATGCATAATATATTATTAGTAAATGTGTATTTGAACGAAACAAAAACAAAAAAAATCGATAAATTCGATACGTATTTTTATACGGCGGGACTTGTTATTTGTCGCTGGGTACCGGCAACGGAGGAAAAGAGGGGAAGGGGTATGACAACCGTATTTGAAACAAAACAAAAGGGGAAAAAAACTGTAATAAAATATTTGCAACTTTTTTCTATGAAATATTTATCCGATTTAAAAAAAAAATAAAAGGCAAGAAAAGAAAACTTACTGGCATATTTTTGACAGCTATACAATCGATGGATGTAAACTCGAATAAAAAGAATTATATTTTAACCTCATATAGTTTTTTTCCGAAAAAAAAATGACATACGGTAAATTTATACCGACATTTTGTACGATAAATAATCAAAACGGACTTATTGATTGATGACTCTATTGTTACAAAATTACATAAAACTAATCAAAAATAGCCTATATAGTATTACAGTGTGATAAGAATAATATCAGCTATCCGTTTACGGTTAGCCGATTGAATGAAATACGATGTTCTATATACGTGAAATATCATAAAATTATCAGTGTATCTTGTCATCTGCACATCGGACCAGGTACTAACTTAAAAAATGCACCTGCCTAAAGTAGATCTTAAAACTAGAATCAGATTCGTCAATAAACTAACAGGCCCTTCACGGGAAACTGCAACAAACTTCCTTTGAACATATTTTATAGCCTTGTCATTATCGGTCACAGAGTGCTGTGTGGGAAGGAGTCGCTTACACCTAGGTGATAAATATCAAACTTAAATATACCATGTGCACAATATCTGGTACAGTCTTGAGTACAAACAACCACTGACTGTCTTATTTGGTCATTATAATACGCTCACATAATAGTAGACAAAACAGCATGCAAATAGTAAAAGGAATAATCAATAGACACCAGAAACTGTCATTTATCGAAGAAGGTATAGCAAACTCAAGGCTCTAATACAGAAACCGTTCCTTCAAAGATCTCTGACCATCACTGAAACGAGAAAGATTACTCCAAATACGTGGCAGGATGAGACCAGAAGTCATCCACGTATAAAACGAGTGCACTTCAGTTCTAGGCATGGACCTCTCTGAAAAAATCTGGATCAGACTCAATCGCACTAATACGAGACACGGGAGATGTTGCGAAATAATGTACAAATGGAAATTTAGAGGGAGTCTAGAGTACGAGTGTGGTGCAACTGTGCAATCGATGCAATAACCTAATTACTTACACCTAATTTCTGGCTGTTATTTTAAGAGAAACAATGGTGATTTGGAGGAACTCGCCAAAGTAACGCCTGAAGTACCATTTTATTAAATGTTCAAAATCGTATGTAGGCATTTTAATGAAAGTAAAATGAGTTTGTCTGATATATTTTATTGGCTGTGAAAATCAATTTTAATCGTACGAAAAATGGTAATTATGGCGCATTTGTTAATTACCGAGGTACAGCACGAAAAAAAAAAAATAATAATAATAATAATAAATTTGTGAAATAAGTATTTACTCTGTAAAAAAAACGAATTAAAAAGATAAGGATATTTCGGTTTAATCTATACGAACACTAAAAGATCTTTTGCCTTTTATTTTTTAATAAGTCGTCAGGTATTTAGATTATCGTTTAAATGAATTTATCTAAATGTATTCCAACGCTAATGCTAAAATTATTTTGATCAATTTCCATTGATTAAAATAACTGTAAACCACGGGTGTAAAATAAATTACAGGTAGTTATAATAGAAATTGACAGGTTGATACGATATATTTGATATAAATCCTGCGAAGAACTCGAGACCTACACGCAACACAGTGAAATCGAGGTATGCACAGTAATCAAAACGTATATACGAGTATTTGATAATGGGGTAGACGGATCCCTGGATATTGTATTCTTTAATGTAAATACGTTCGAGTATAATGCAGAACGGTAACAGCTGTTGATGGAGAAAATATTATAGTATGACGAAAGTAAAGAACGGGCAAGAGGAAAAAGTGACGAATCAAAATATTGTACAGTATAAAATTACAACGCCGAGACTTACTCTCTGCGGAAATGGACCACGAAAAATAAACAGTCTTACATTGTTAAAATAGCCGAATGTTCGGGCCGTGGTTGGAGATTAGATCAAACTATATTAATACTGTAGACGTTTTTGTAAAACCAATGGACGACCGACAAAAATTTATTAACGATCATATTATCCGCTACCGGTAGATAAATTCAGCAGATATGAATTCAGTGTTGTGTTTCATCTATACAATATTTTTTCTTATATTTAGATAAAACATTCGAATTACCTAAAATGTATGAATATTTTATGAGAAATAAGATAAATATTTAATTTATATTGATATGGATTTATTAATAATTATTATAAGGGTGCATCAATCGCACGACCTTTATGAAATCTAAACGTGTGGGTGTCAAATCTGTAACATTTTTACTACTTTTGACATCCATAGTGTTATGATAATTATAAATGAATAAAATTCATAAAAAAAAAATACCGGATGTCTTCGAAATAAAAGTTCTGAGAAGAATTATTAGGCTATACAAGGATGATCATACCGGTGCACAGTGGAGAAAGAGACATATCCAAGAATTCCAGGACGTCTTTCAACGCCCAAAAGTAACGAAAGAAATTTCAATAAAAATACTAAAATGAGCGGAGCATGCGGGAAAAAGGAATCAAGAGTCAATAATAATAAGGTCCGTTATTTAAAACAACTCGGTAGAAAAGCGGTTTCTCAGAAGATCTTGTTTAATGTGGGAGGACTGTGCGGTTAGAGACATATGAATAGTCCTAAAACCCAGTGGAAAAAAATATTAAAAGACAATGATAGGTGAAAGTATAATTATGTACCTATGTTTGACGGACTAACCTTCAAAGCAGTTACTCCCGAAAAAAAAAAAAAAACAAAATTAATGAAATCATCTTTTTTTATCAACAGTTTAAAAAGTTGTATGTATTTTTATCTTCATATGCACGATAATTATTCTAGCAATTTTTATATCATACATCTTTATGTAGATATTTTGTAGATATATTAAAACTTAACTTTATGCAACACTGTTTATAATAATCACTTACGTGCCGAGTATTTTCGCGTATTCGGAAAAGTGCGTGAACAGCGCAGAAACGCGTATAGTTCCCCCGTTTTCTAATGATACTTTGAATGTCGTTTTTGATTTCGTTCTACGGCGTATCTCGCATGTTCGCACTTCAAACGTTTTAGGCGGTCCGAATCGGGTATAATTCATATACACTAATATATGCAGTCCTCGAGTCTCCTTCTATGGTCTCCTATATACGAAATGTACAATATATTATTAACTTCGTTAAAATCGTAACGCCCGACCGGCGCGGCCGAGACGAGCTATCCTCAGCGCATACAACGGCTGATGCGACACACACACACATATTATATTCAGTAAAATGTATCTTTTCTCCAAACTGAATTCCGTATTATAACAATGTGCGCCGCTCGACATTTCTCGTGTCGCAAAACAGGAGTCGAAAAATAAATACAAAGTGTTTTTTTGATTTGTATTTTATTGATTTATATTTTTTCCCGTATAGGTACACCAATAACATTCACGTCGCCCACCCCGTCACAAAGTCCAATAATATAGTATCCGCCGTCCGGCAGAAAATATTATTACTGACAGACGACCCGATGTTTTGTTCTACATCGTCATCGTATCTTACATAGTTCAGCCTCAACTGGCATGTACACAGAACGATAAATTTATCACGAACCGGTGATTTTCTCGAAGGATTTAATGTGAATTAGATTTCTATTTTTTTCTTTTTCGATCATTTTAGAACCGTTTAGGTTTTACACTGCCGTAAAGAGTTTAGACAAACATTCTGTGTTCAAATCTGTAATACCAGCAGACGAAAGGGGTCCAGTTCGAAAATCAAAAGTGTATACTCATTTTAGGTATATTATTGAGTAGAGGTAAAGTAACGGCCGATTGTTCTTTTATTATTACTGCTCCAAGAACCGAAAATCCGGTATATCGGTATCGAGAACCCGAGGAATAATTTTCGGAACCAGACAAGAACCGGTACCGCTGTTTGTTAGGAACCGGCTCATCTCTACAGTCTTAACGCATTTAAACTACGATATTATATTCCAATCAAAGGCGTTATAGTTGTTGCAATTCGTACGCATAATCGATGTTACGAAGTCCCGTTTGTAATTACTTTGTGTTTGCGTACGGTTTATGGGTGTACCTAATACGCAAACGCGGTCTTACCTGATGGTTAGAAAAAAAAAAAAAAATACCCGTACATACCGATGGGTCGCGCCTACACTTGATAATATTACAATCGTCGCGTTTTGTATTACATTATAACTAGGACAAACGATATGATAAATTCGAATGTTATGCGTTTGTATTACATATTATTACGGACGATAATAATTATTATTGTACACTGCTGCAATAATGTTTCAAATAGGTCGTTCAAATAATATCGTCCATAATTGTTCCGAACTGTTATCGTCTTGACGCGATAACTTCATCCTTACAAATTATGATATATGTTTACAGTGCATTAAATTTTATCGCAACTATATAAAATAAGTTTTTAAGTATCGCCGTTGAAGTATTTAAGTTTTATAATCGTAAATAGCGGTTTTTTCTCTCTCTCGAACTTGATGATGTTAATATTATTACTGTTATGCGCGTATTTAAAAAAAAAATGTACAGGCACGAAATCTCGGTTATTACGATAACGACAATATGCATCGCGTGTATTATTCACGATTTTTCTTTGTTTTTTATTTAGTTTTACAGGACGTAAATGTATTGTAATTAAACAATCGGTATTTAGTAGAAGATACATCAAAATAATCGTATTATCTAGAAAAAAGATATATTCTTAACTAGGGACTAGTTATCAAGATGGAAAACAATTTTGTTAATTACCCATGATAAAACTAAATGTTGAAAGTGGGGGTGGTGAAATTGTACATGCATACTAGGTTTGATATAGTTACAAATTGTAAGTTTTCATAATCGTTGTGTGATTGATGTAACTTAATAATAAGTTAACTCATTGAACCATAATATGAATATAAATTAAATATTGCATCAATTCTTTCTAATGGATAAATAAATTAGTGTTGAAAAAAAAAAAATGTTTCTAGATCAACGGTTCTCAAACTGTGGTTCACGTACCACAAGTTATTACGCGATAGATCGCATGGTAGTAGTACGGAAAATAAATTAAAAAATATTCGTATACTAATGTTTTTATCTAACGGATTTAATACTATATTTTATTTATTAATATTATAATGTAATATTTTGTTGTCTTATACTCGTATCTTATTGAAATGCAAAGAAATTATAAATAGTTCAATTTTTAGTCGTAATTGGTACACGGAAATAAAGTTTGAGAACCTCTGGTCTAGATGGTCCAGTTATTTTTCATAAACAGCTTTTTTTTCTAATTTATCCGAATAGATAGGATAAAAGATAAAAACAAAAGACTGCCGCCACACGGTCATACTTATATTTATTTATTTACCTATTAAAAAAGATCTGATTAGGTAATAATATTATTATAAGCTAACAGGGTTTTTTCTGATTTCCTTATGCGAGTTATAGTCATTGTGGCAATTAATTTCCTAAATACAAAAAAAAATAACTAAAATTACAATTTTAGAAAACGGATGTTTTGTTAAACGTGCGTAAAATTTCAATCAATTATCGGGTGACTTAAAGACTTTAAAAGACTAATATTATGTCAAACCATATGACGTAATTGGGCCTGAAACAATTTTTCTTCAGACGCCATATTCATAAAAAACAAAAAAAATATAGCGAGTACATGGTTATTGGCTCGACAAAATCGATTACTTTTGTTTACGGAAACAATATACACGGTACAAATGCCAATTAATCTGACACCGACAAATGTATTTGAACATAAAAGGTCAAAGACGTTTCTTGAAATATTCTGTTCGAGTCACTTCAAAAAAAAAAAAAAAGAAAAAAGAAACTCAATGATATGCACAGAATCTAGTACTAAGTGTATACTAATTAATATTAGTGATAGGAAAGAAAAGTACATTTTACGAATATGGTATTCTATGCGCGTAATTCACGAGTCTAAAGTGGAAAATAGCTTATAACCAATAATATAAATTATTATTAGTATTATAAATAATATTTTTTACGATGTCACACACATCTAAAAATAGCATTCCGTGATGAATAGTTGATAAAATAAGTACCTACACCTATTACAAGTTGTTTTGTCAATATTTAATTAATATCGTTTATTAATATTAGAAAAAATCCTTGTTGCTGAAAAAACGCGCTCGTCGTATAAGATTCTAAGCCCAACGAAAATGTCAAAACAATAATTGTCCACGTTAATAAGGAAACTCGATAAATGACCTACTATCAATGCACCAACTAGATCCAAAATTGGATAAAGCTATTCCTATAAATTGATTGATCGGAGCAAGATTCCTGGTCTAATAGCAATTTAAAGGCACAAAAAGTAATAATAATTTTAAAAAACCACATCACTCTAAATCCAATAAATTTCTCGCTACTCAAAGGAATATAAAAAGTTAATATTGCACTGCGAGTTTACGGAGATAATTCAAATAAAATAAATATTAATGATGGCTCATCTAATTTCCCAAAATATAAATAATTTTTTTATTAAATACAAATTTTTCATGAAAAAATCGATTAAGAATAAATATACTTGTACAGATAATTCATACCAGTTTTACACATCCAACTATGATGTCAGAAAATAGGTCTTATGATAGAACCGATTATTATTGTTTATTACATATTATGTAAATATATCTCCTATAATATATCTTTTCAATCTTTTAAATTAAAATGTATAATTTAATGGAAAGTCAAATTTATTTTAAAAATAAAATATAATAGTTTTCGTTGTGTAATTTAAAAATTGTGTTGACTTTCAATAAACTAATTTGTTTTGATTTATACATTTACCGGGAGTTTTCTCGGTTTTTTCCATTTATAAGAAAAATTGCCAAAAAAAAAATCCAAAAATAACCTCTGTAATTCACCAACTAGATCCAAAATTCAAAATTTTAAAAAAAGCTCTTTTATCGTTGACGATTTTCGGTACAAACAAATCATTTAACATCGGTTAACATCAAACAAATCGCACACATCGTTTTAAAACCAATACATTTCACGACGCGCTCAGAATCCAAAACTTGTGTTTTCTATCATAACATTGTAATGTGCTCGAACAAAAACGTGGCGGAATTTTAATAAATATATTTTATTGTCGGACGTTCTTTTCTGGGGTGCCCTTTTTTTTTCCTTTTTTAAATCGCATTAAATTCCTCGCCCTATACTTACCCGCGTAAACCCGCGGTTATACTCGTTAGCGATGCAGATAACACACTATAATTTGGAATAATATCATCCCTCGTGATGAACACTGTAATAGTACGATATAACTATACAGTTAACTAGATTATAATATTATATTGTATAACACAATACTATACACAGACACGATTGGTACCTAATAAAGTAACTTTTCGCGGATTCGTTTCTCCGTCGTGTGTGTACAGAATAAATTGCGAATTTCCACCGGTTGTAGATACTATTATAAGTCATATGGTACAATACACACGTATCGTAGCGAACCACCACACCCGACCACATGCAACGGATAATAATCGTATACAATATGAATTCCTACTAGACTCACTGTTTTACGTGCCCTTGTACATGGGATGATTTTTTTTTTTTTTTTATCTTTATTTAGCAATCGGGTGTTGAGTATACATTTGGTTATTGTAGTCATCGCTGGATCACGATTGAAAAACTGTCCTAGGATAACGGGCACAGATGCAGCCTCTGTTGTAGGTGGGAATTTCGGGCATGTAGGATATAGGTAGTCTATAGATGGAGATGTATTGATTTAAATGATGGGGATTTTCTGAAAAAAATTGTCCAACAAAAAATGTACAGCCATGTAATTTTTTTGCGTTATTCAAATAGAGGTACCTAGCTTTAGTTCTTTATATTTTGTTATTTGTGATTAAACTCTCATTTTAGTCTAAACAACACAATTTATGTTCTAAGTAACGCAATTTTACTATGTCCTACATTATAATACGTAGACAACACATGCGGATATGACATCCTCTTAACCAAAAACTTATAGATGTACCCACGCCCCCACATATTAATTAAGATTTATTCTATATAATTATAATAACAATTGCAATGCAACTTTGTGTCATAGTAAACCCACTTTCCGAAACTGCTAAATTGTAGGAAGTGCATATCAAGAATGTAATGGCCGTTGCATTCTACTTTTATCAGATGGATGCGATTGATGTATTGTCATTTATATTCCAGTCTATCTATAAGTCAATAATGGTAATTAACCGTTGGTAAATACTCAATGGGTGAGTAAATATTTTGGATATTTACTCGTAGGTTTATTTATCCACCCAAAATGCGGGTAAATGCTTTTTTTTATTCCTGGTCTATACATAACTTTTCAATAAAAAAAAAAAAATAAAGGAATACTGATTGTCATAAAAAAGTTGTATAGATAATATAAGTATTTATTATATTTGTTTTTATGAATAAAGATCAAGTTACTGTTTTATTGTTACCATATTTTTCTCTAAAAAATGGTATTGAATTCAAAATGAATGAAATTAACAAACACTTTGTACATTCTATTTATTTACTCTAATAAAACAATCTGGAAAAACCATGAAAAGGTCAGGAAACAATCATAATGGAGTTACAACATTTCAATGACCGTTATAAGCCGTCATGTATGAGGGACATACAACTACAATACATATTTTCCGAGTCCATAATATAATAATACTTGTAAAATACAATACATAATTGGATGAGCGTTGAAAACTTGAAAAATTCATACCGAAAATATTATCGTATACGACAACGCGTATACATAATTTAACGTTTTTAAATGCATACCTATAATAATATTATATTTGCAAACAAAACTACCTACGTCTGAAATGCATGTCACGAAAGTACAGTGCAAGTGCGTGCAACACTATACCTAACATTTTCGTATAATGAATTTGTTATCACACTCTGAATGATGCGTTTTGCAATACGCACCTGCAGGCGAATTTTCGACTGGCATCATTCAATCAATGTGCATTTTGATTTTTCTGTTCCCACGGATGTTCGTTGTATTTCTTCGAATTTGAATTTAGACTTACAGAAAGTCTGAACACAGTCTTAAAAACAAATTCCACAATCAAACGTATAAAACAAATGCATAACGGTGTAGTTTATAACTTGTGGTTTTCGGAGTTAAACAATGCGTTTGATTTAAAAAAAAAAAAAAACAAAAGCAAAATCATTTTTTAAATGTTTAATCGTAAATCGTTTAACTCTACCGAATATAAAGTGCCTGGATTTTTTAGATTCCTCCGAGAGTATCGACTACCGAAGAATGTTGTATTGGTTTTACTATGCATGTTTTTTAGAATATTTTGAACACCAAAAATCCTGCTTTACAAAGAAAAAAACAATATTAAGCAATTGGATTTTATTTAAACATATTCGTTCGTTGAATGTGTTTTAAACTTGTTTGAAGTTAGTATTAATTATTTTTACATGTATTCAATTAATATTTAGATGTTTGTACAACAATAACGATCGGTAAAATTTGTGTTGCTGGCTAAAAATCCGCTATTACAAAAAATAAAAACAAAATAAATGTTACCAAGGCAACTGGATTTTGTTTTGATACACTCAGATAGGTTTATTGGACGTTATACACGACAAAGGTTAAAAAGTTGTTTCGATGGTTTCATTTAATTTTATATTATTGTAATGCTGAGTGTATACCTGGCACTATACGTCTATACGTATTTAAAGTGGTTTATGCCATGAAACTCTTGCATAATAAATTCTAACAATATCGAACATAGCTCCGTAGATATTTTTAAATATCAATTAATATAATTAAACCGAGATATAATAGAGAAATGTATTTTTTATATTTAGGCAAACAAGAGGCTTTAATAGAAATCGTACAACAAGAACCTTTCGTACGTCTTTTCATATAAATGCAAAAGTTAATCTCATTAAGTCTTCTGGTGCTTCAAATTTTTAAATGAACAATTATGAACATTTGTTAGAAGCCAGTAATGAAGTTTTACCAGACTCAATTTTATCTTGCAATAATTTATCTAATACCGACACAATTTTTTCAGAAATATCATCACCATCTGAAATTGACATTTCCAAAAAAGATGACTTTCAGATTTTATTATAAAATTATTCTGTTTCTTATTTTGCAACTTATTTAGGTTTTTTATGTTTTCGTGAATTTGAATCTATCGGCTGTACAGTTAAATTATTAAAACCTAAGAAATCCTTTTTTTTATGACAAAGAATCTAAAGATCCTGATTTTATACATTTTTTGAAAAAATCAATAGAAATATTCAAAGAGTTTGTAAAACATGCACAAAAAATAATAACAACTTATACATCACAAAATCTAGAAACAACAAACTGATGTATAATTTTGAACAAAACAATTAAACTTCAATAGATTTTTGACTCATATTTTGATTTTATAACATTCAAACTAATGTCATTCAAGTTATTTTAAAACTTAAAAATTACATCAACAAATAGGTATGAAAAACCGTATAAATTCAAAATCATAAAATAAATTCAATTATTTATATGAAATTCGGTCAAACGTTCAAATGATTTTATATTGTCATTTATTTGATATTATTATACCACATTATTAAGGTTTCGGAGTGTAGTAAGAGATCTATTGGTTTTACTATGATTCCTATGTGTTTTTTTTTTCTGTCTGTAAACACTGTTCTATAAGAAATCTTGCTCCGAATTATCAAATGTAGCACCTTTTCTGAAAGTTAGTTTTCTATAGTTGCGCATTATTTATTTGATTTCCAAGGAGTTTTAAAAATAATAGTGAAAAACCAAAAATTTAAAATTTAGTAATATTTACAAGCAATTGGCGTCCCGGTTTAATTAGTTTAATTATTCATTAATTTAATTTAATTATTCATTATATTATATAATATTCCTCCATTCGAAAAATAGCAAGGGATCGATTTTGTTTTAATAAAATGTTGAAATTAAATAACTTTATGTATCACATCTACAGCAATGGCATACCCGTGTTCCAGTATCAGCTATTATTTTGTCTTATATATAATTCTGGATACGTGTTTAAAGCACAAAAAATCTTTAAAGTTTAGTAACTCGTAACATTTTTCAAACAAACTCTGACAACTATCTAACAACTCAAAGTAGGGTTTATTCGAGTGTTTTTGAAATTCCGTACTATTTGTCTACTGCCAGCTTCCCGTAGGTGAAAATTTGATAGTTTTATCCTTGGTCATCGCTCATAAAAAAAAAAAAAAAAAAAATCGTAATTAATTATTCATGTTAAAAAATGTTAATTGCATTAAATTCAAACACGCATAATTGCATATTGTGTAACCATAATTACACTGCCGCTGTAAACAAAATAATTTAATTTGAACTTTAATATTGTATAGATTTAGAGTTACATAGGGGTTTTAAGGAAACAAAAAAAAAAAAAAATGTCATAAATCTCTAAACTCTGGAAAACTATGGCGTATAATATATAATATACAGGATGACTAATGAGCCATCTCATATATTAATTACGAGCTCGACGAATTATTTATGAATATTTTATGTGAATTCAAATCGTATCGTGGGTACTGAAGAAAAATCCGTACTTTAAATATTATTATATATTATATATAACGTTATATATTATCTGCACCAAGTTTTGTATTACCAATTGTAAATGAAGTAATATTTTATGTTTCATTAACAACTTCTTACATTATGTCGAAATTATTTTATTTTAAATTTAAATCTGATTTTTAAAATTTATTACTAAAGTTTTTAACGATTTCATACATCTTTTGTATTATAATATTAGAGCAGTTTCAATAATTTAATACGTAACTTCAACGGGAGATTGAAACTATTTCAATTTAAAAAAAAAACCAACATTTTAGAAATTTGTTTACTGCAGGTAAGAGGGGTAGGTATATCTAAGGATAGTGTAAAACTATAAACGTGTTCCGGAATGCAAATTATTGCGTATCTTTTATGCGACAAAAAAAGACTGACAGAAAAAGACATAGGCAAATAAAGACAAAGACAAAAAATATCAGTGATTACTAAATTTAAAAAATTTTACTTATTATTCCATATATAACTTACATACTGTATGCGTGAATTAAAATAAATAAAAAAAATAAAAAACAAATAGCATTTATGACACAAATAATTCTTCATGAGTTCGTGCATTTTGATGCCCTGCACTTAATATAATATGCAAAATATAATTCCGTCTTTAATTTATAAACAACACAATACAAATTTTGACATATCCATTTTTCTATTTAACCACAGTAAAAATAACATAATACTTCATGAAACTTACCACCCTGCTTACATGTGTTTATTTTTTTTCCCGCAGCTTGTATCGCGGTATCATCTAGACAAAATTATCTCAAACTCGGCAATTACAGTCGTTTCAAAGCTTGACATAAATTGTGTTGAATTTCAATATGAATTTCACAATATTGCCGAACGAGAAATGCTATTTTTTAGATTTGTACACCCCTTTCAGACTTCCCAAATGAAGCCAAGGGGACGCATGGTGGTTATATCGAGAATCTGCCTTTTGGGAGTTTTAACTTTTTACCCCCGTCCTTACAATTTTTCGCGCTCAAATATCATTTTTTTTTTTTTTTTTTTTATGTAGCACAATTGTAAAATTATAATTTAATATAGTAGATTTTCTATTGTTATTTTTATTCTGTTATTTATCGTTTTGTAAAGAATATTCTATAATCAAAATAGCTGTGGAGAATTTCTGCAGTAGTGCGGAGAGCTCACGGACGTTTTTTTCTTTTATGAGTTTCCAACAAACTCTATCTCTAAAAAGAGATAGAAAGAGATCTAACACCGTTGGAAAACGGTGTCGTTCCCGCGGTGACATATTATTCTATATATATATATATATATATATATAGTATATATACTATATATATATATATATATAGTATATATACTATATATATTTATATAGACGGGACGCAGTGTGCAGGGACACGCAGTCCATTTCTTCTTTATTATTATCGGTCTATAATGATATCAGATACGTACACGTGTCGTACTAGCAGCACGTATAAAAGAAACAAAAACGAATCGATACGGGCCGTGGAAAAAAAAAAAAATAATATATATATATTAATAACAATAACACCACTGTCAGACAAAAGTCTTTTCTTTCTTTTTCTCCCCTCATCACGCTTACCGGTATCTATAATATAACGGCGTACATATATATGTATATATACCGCAAAAAAGAAACGATATTATATTATAATATAATGTCATCTATCATCGAATATTATCGGGTGTGCAAAACTATAATACATAGGGTACAACTATACCGGGTGGTTTTTATTTCTATCGTGATATAGCGATTACTTGCAAACATTTTGAGTACAATTTATTTGGGAGATTTTTTTTTGCGGGCGTTTCAGAATAACGGTTTAATAATAATCTTATTTACAATATATTTTCAAATTGTCACCCGTACCAGTACACATATAGAATTTTGATTAACAAATAAGTACCCCTTACTCTAGTTCGATATTTATAACACTCATATTGGATTTAATATTTATTAATCATAATAATTTAAACTTAGGTAACACCCGAAGGGGCATAATTTATTTTGTAAATGGTATATACAACCATAAATCATTGCTGACAAAACACGATTCTGAGCGGAGAAAAGTTGTTTTTTCCTTTGTTACCAATTTAACCTAGAATTCAAGAAATATTAAACAATAACCAATCAATGATATAGACCCTTGATAGCAGTTCGTCCTCTAAATTCTAAGTGGTGATATGATGAAAATGCCTACAAATATTTCAAGTTAAGCAACACCGGGCAAACATTTTACATATGTTTAGGTACTACGTGAAAATATTAGTACTTTCAGTTATCCCAAAAACTGTTTTCAAAAAAACAAAATAAAACATAATAGGAAATTTTCGGAAAAAAATATTTGAAACGTCGAGCGATTATTCGAATTACATAAAATACCTATGTCCAACAAATCTAACACGAAAATTCGGAGCTTTTTAATATTAACCATAGTATAATGTTTTTTGAAGAATAATATCACATATTTGTAAAACAATTATAGTTAAAAACTATGACAATATTATAAAACAATTATACATTGTATTATGATACAGTTACAATTGTAATTTTGTGGTATAATTATAGTTTCTTCGTTATACTCAGTATCTATAAGAGGATGTGTACTTTATTACCCTAAGCATTATTTGTTTGAATCTGTATTAAAAAAAATGGGGGCAAAGCAATTTGAAAAAAAAGATGTAAATACCTACTTATTTACGATGTATCTGATTATCATATTGTGTAGAGGTCAAAATTTGAAAACACAATGCCAAATCCGAAATCGAATCAACTAAAAATCCTCTTAGTATAGAAAACCGCTGGATCGTGATGAAAAAAAAAATCAAATCAAATCACTGCGTGTATAAAATTATTATTATTTCGCTTTGACGTTTTCGATTAAACGAACTAGGGGGATAGGGGGGGGTATATCGTAGATATATTATTGAATTGTGTATTAGCTAAGTAAGTAGGTACCTATATGATATAATATTACAGTACACGTATAAGAGATCAGCGGCGGGAGAAGAAGGGAATAAGCAGCGGGGAAACCTGGCGCGGTGTTTTTCCTTCTTTTCCCCGTCGTCGGGGATTCATTAAACGAATTTAATTACCGGAATGAATGGTAACGGGTTGCGACGCGAGGAGTTTTTCGGACCGCGGTGTGTAAAACGACGGGCGCAGGGTAGGCGAGCAGATACGCCGCGGGCGGGGCGGGGCGAGCGGTGGCGTTGATCTTCTCTTAATGTGTTTTTAATTAATTGGGGCCGAAAGAGAATCTCTGCCACCGCCGTTTTCCGCGACTACGCCGTGCGACATTTTGCGGATTTTCGTAATAATATAAGGTGCGTATAGCCCCTATAAAAGAAAGAAATAATAATAATAACGCCTTTTATGTGTTTATAACAATAACAACAACACCTGTGCGCCGAGTCGCCGTATTAGTCCGTCCGGCACCTCGCCACGGGCGCCTGCAGTGGGTGCCACTATCCATATCCGCGCCGTACCCATGCCGCTATTGTTACCGTTATTTCCGCGCCGCAGCCTTTGCGCGTTTCGACGCCCGCGACGGCATTATTTTATATAATCGAGAAACAACGGCCGGACGCCATACAAACGCCGGTAAACATTATACGTGTATACCTAAAGTCGTATACCGCCGCCGAGCCGTTGATCTTACGACGGGGCCTTTGTGTGTTCGCAATAATATTGTTATTAATATCAAAGACGGTAATAATACCGCGATATATATGTTTATGTAAGTAATATTATTATTTATTATTAACTTAACCGCGGGGAGATGGAGGGGGGGGGGCACCGGTCTCGAAATCTCCGACAAAACGACACGATAATATGCATAGTAGGTACACGAGCGTTTTAAACGAAATCGTTCCGAAAATGATTGGTATACCAACGCGAATTATACAGCCCGTTCGCGTAGTTGGGCGACACGCGTTCGGGTGAATCGCCTTATTTGCCGTACAATAAATACAGTGTATTCGGACGAGTTACCCATAATGTGTTTAAGTGAATTGCTAATAACGTGTTTGGACGATTATGACAAGTCCTGCAACGTGTAAAATATAAAAGGTGATATTATATTTTAAACGACATTTACTAAAAAGACGGACATACTTCGCACGTGGATGGGCCACTGTTGTAGGTGAGAAGTTGGGAAGCAAGTAGCGGGGAAATTTAACGTATATCAGTACGCAACGATAAACCATCACTAACGAAAAAACGATTCCGAGCCGGGTACGGTTGATAGTGTTGTTTTGTCAAAAATATAATGTAATGTGTCATATTGTGGTCAAATAATTACATTAACATTAAACATTTTCTTGAATAGCATTTGTTTTCTCTATATGTCTCCGTGTTTTCTCATTGATTGAGAAAACTTCTTGGTAAATCATAAAACGACCTGCTAAAGGTACAACACCTAGTCAGATTTCCTTTCGGAAAAAGTGCTATACTTTTAAAACAGAACAAGATTTTTGGTACAAAAGTTGTTCACAGATAAAAAAAATAAAAAAATAAACATCGTTTTAAAACACTAATACATTCCTCGTACCACTTAGAGTCTATAATGTCATAGAATACATGCATATTATAATATTTCACTATTGGTTTTTTTCTGTATCGACAATCAGATAAGCAGAAAATCAGATAGCAATGCTTGTGATTTCCTTGCAAGTAATATTATTATAACGACTTAAACTTAATAATTATAGTTTTTCCATTTATCGGGTTTACTCGAACATTGATAACGCGAACTCGTTATAGTGTTTTAATTGTTAGTATTTAGCACAAGTTCGTAGTTATTAATTATTGCCAACCGTGACCAAATATAGATTATAAAATTGACAACGCTTTTACTACAATACGAAATAAACTACGCATACTCAACAAACAATCCCAAATATGTCAAAATGAAAGGGACAATGGATTTTTATAAGTTCCCCCCTCACATTACAATGTTTTAAAATCACTCGTCCAAACGCATTGTGGAAAATTGCCCAAACGCAATGCGATTTTTACAAACTCACCCAAACGCAAACGCTCGGGATTTGAATACGCTCGGGGATAAATTTCAAATTTGTATCCCTTTTGGTGCACGCGTGCGCAATGCAAATTACTTTTTATCTAAATACAAAATAACGTCTATTTTCGACGATAGATTCGGATCCGAATCCAAAATCATTCTGCCGAAAAATTGCACAAATATATTGTTACCCGGAAACGCGAACACACTGTATACACGCGATGATGCACTGGCGATGATAATATTATCGAACACGCAAATTCGAACGAAATAACGAATGAAGGTATATATAGTAGCCACGAGGAATAACGTTTGAAGTTTTAATTAAATATATCTATCGTCTTTATATTATGGAGATTAATTTCAAACCGATTTCAGCACCGTAGGTCGTATAATATACGAGTAAAGTGGATCCGTGTACGACGCGCGTGTATCTATATTTATGTACGACACATCAGTCTAATTTTTATTATTATTATTTATATAAAAATTCAAATAAATAATTTTAAAAAAAAAAAAAAACAAGAAAAAGATTTCCCGAGTACCTAGTGTAAAACGTTTGCCGGAGTCAACCGTGTATCTGCGACATAGGAGTAATCTCCACGTCTCCAAAGCCTGTATATTTTCATTGCAAACGAAAAACGATTCTGAGCAATATAGTATTAAAATATTATTACAGTGGGATTTATTCGGAAACTAACAAAAATCGAAAAACCAATAGCTCATTGACTAAACTGTTGAAAATATTAATAAATGTTTTGAATAAAGCACCGCCGGTCGGAAAACTTTTACGGTACTGCGAGAAAAATTTGGAAAATTTAAAAAAAAAAAAATGTTGTTTCGAAAAGAACAAAACATCCTTCTAAAACTATCTAATATGGCTTCTTCGCTGTGACATTCTTTAATCAGAAACTAAAATAAAATACATTTCATACGAATAAATATAAGACGAATATTGTTTTTATACGTTTGTGTATTGCAATCACTTAAATATTTATTTTTTAGTATATACGAACAACAAAACCATTTCAACTATATTTTATATCCGGTAGTATATATATATATATATATATATATACTTTAACGATACCAGGAAATCGTAGCGTAAACGATTATTACTTCCGCACATACTTATCTCGAATATTTAAACGTACATAAATACACCATTATAATCTATTCTCGATCGTATAATATACAAAACTCGGCCGTACAGGGTATTAAAAATGTATATGATACGCGTGTTGCGACAGAGAAATGACAAGATCGAAATAATAATAACATAAGAATGGATTAATTATACTTATCGGTTGTTATGTAAGTATTTATCATTTTTATTTTAACGTGAGTTTTTGACCACTCTCAGGCGCGTTTTCAGTTAAATACTATCATGATCTTAGTTCGTTTATTTTTTTTTTTCAATTTTTCACGAATCAGTATATTAATAATATATATATAGTGAAAAACATAAAAAATTAATTAACAAAATTTCAATTTATTCTACATTAAAATTCGTATGAAAATTAAGTACAACTAACAAGCAACTAACAAAAACGTTCAATATTACGTACAATCGTATAATATCTCAAAAATAAATGAAAAAAAAAAAAGATGAATCCTGCTTATGGATGTGATTTTACTGTTTTGGAGGAAAGATGAAAGGGGTGTTATACGCAGTAAATTAATTTGTATCCACGCGCAACGATAAATCATTACTGAAGAAAAACGATTCTGCGCAAAATAGTATTAATCGTATTTCCTTGTAGCCAGGGCCACCCGGAAATCAATACGAATTATACAAAAAACGACCAGTTTTTTCTATTTTTTAAGAAAAAAAAATAAACTCTGAGAAGTCCATTTTTTCACATCACTACGCCACATAGATTAAAAATTCTACAAGAAATTTCATACGAAGTTATTGATTAAGGCAAAATTTCTAATTAATTTCTATTTATTTATTGACTCAAAAAAAACCACCTATTAGTATAACACAATAATATTATATTGAATGTAAGCAGTACTTGCGATAGCAGACGACTGTATAATATCAACAGGAGTGCCGTCTCATATAGTAAACTATAAATAAATGTAATGCATGGTATAGTTCCCTGTGGACACCCAGCAAAAAGATTCCAGGTAGCTATGAGACGGCTGCCGTTTTAAGTGTTGTTTTATAGAAAACAATTTAGATTCTATAACGAATAAAGAATATTTGAAGTTGTTTTTGATTCTGATATGGAGTGAGGAATGTAATGGTTTTACAGTTTATGTTTTCTCTGAACAACATTTCTACCAGCAATTTTGCTCCGATTTTCAATATAACACTTTTTCTGAAAGGAAATCTAACTGGAAAGGCCAATTTTGTTATTTTCCCGGGAGGTTTCATAATAAATAGAACAAAATAGGAAAAACACTTGGATAAATAGGATAGGAAAATAGGTACAATATTAAATAAATATTATCAAAGAAAATATGTTATACATATAGAATTATTTTACCGTAATATGACATATTTATATTGTTGACAAAGCAACACTATTAACAAACTCCGTCATGATCATTTTTTGTTAACAATAATTAATTGTTGCGTACAGATTAGAGAATACAATCCCGGATCCCGGGATACCGACTTTTTTTTTGCTCTCTAAAATAACGGGATTGACAAATAACAAATCCCGGGATTTTCGGGATTGAGTATTTAATGTAATAACACAGAAAAAAATATATATAATAAATATAAACAATAAATACGTTATATTATTCTGTGAGTATTTTAGCGATTAGTGGAAAACTAAATGGTAAATGATCAGACAAATGTTCAAAATAATGAAGAAGAAAAACTATTGCAATATAATGAACCTATCAAACTAACGTTGAAAGAAAATATGGGGCTTGAAATTAATAAAATTTTAAGAACTGTCGATCCCGAATCCCCAAAATCATATTGTTTTTTTAAAAACTATTACCAAATATATTTGTCTGTATGAGAATGGAGGATACTAGAATAGTGGGCATCAATTAGCATTACCGTTTAAATATCTAATGAACATTCCTCCCACTAGCATTGAACCGGAACGTGCGTTTTCAACAGCTGCATACATTGGAAATACAATAAGAAGTAGACTCGGAGACGAAACATTAGATGGTCTGATTTTTCTTCGATCAAACTTTCAAAATATTTCGATTAAATAAAACATTTTTTTAAATTATTTTTGTCAGTAATACACAATATTAAATTGCAATGTATCATTTGTTTGTTTTGTTTTATCAATTTGAAATGGAATCCCGGGATGGTCAATGTACTTCGGGATTGTATTTTCTAGTACAGATATACTTTAAATTTCCCCTTCTCGCCTACAACAGTGGCCCACCCATCGTGCGAAGAACGGCCGTCTTTTTCAATATCGTATTATCTATCTATTCTTGCGAGCTTATACTCGAGTACTATAGATACACGTCAATAATACAAGACCGGAGGTGCGTGCGTGTAATAAGTTAACATTAATAATAATATGATCTCTGCAGAGTAGATATCGCGCACAGATTTGTTGCGTTACAGTGCAATTCGAGTGTTTGAACGCCGAATACGTTTCGATTGTCAAACCTTCGAAACGACGGGCAGGTGTATAATCATATACGCTCGCGTAATACAAGTCCAATGAAATTGATAATGTAAAGATTCGCAGCGAAACACACAATACCATAATAACACATAACTAGGTCAAAAATCAACAAACCGACTACGTATATGGTCGCGCGCTGCACCCCATTTACCCGGGTGAATTATTAACCGCATAAAACCAAATGGAATATCGTAGTCGGGTGGCGCGTCCTTATAAATATATTTGGCTCGGAATAAGTTTATATAAATAAATATATATATATTGACCCTTTTCGGCTATTGCAGCTCTATAAATAACAGATGATTTACTATACGGTTTTACACTCTTTTCGCGTTAGAAAATTATTTGTGGTAAGTAGTCATATCCTTTTCGTCTACACTGTACATACTTTAATCTGACCGTTAAAACTTCACTAGTCACCGAATTAAAAATGCACGTATACGCGTACGCTATTAAACCCATACACAAATAATTTACAAACAAATAAAATTACAAGTAACGCTTTGATGTTGTACGCGAACCGTAATGTAGGAAAATCAAAACGAGGCTCCCTCAACCCCGCGTTTCAAACAAGAAAAAACTGACGCCGCGCCGTCGGAGTTGATAACTATTCTATAATTATACATTGTCAGCTGTTGCAAATGTATAATCAATATTTATATTTGTACTGAAATATAAAAATATGATAATATACTTAAGGAGTAATTTATATCGATGGCGTTTTGTTAGAACGGTGTATACCGCTGAAAATCGAAATATACGTTTTTGATATCAATAAAATCAGAAAAATTACGAGTGCAAACTGGTAAAAAAGCATATTTCAATACAGAAAATTAAGTCGGTAATACTTTTATTGAAATTAATTTGGTAAGGGTTTTTTTGCTTCCTGAAAAAAATGAAATTCGATAGGCGCCCTATTAACAAAACACCGTCGATATATACTAGGATACAAAACACGTGTTTATGAATGTAGTCAAGGAAAACTATTTTAAAATCGGTACATTTTTACTTTTAACTCAAGTAATTTTCTTCCTGAAAATTTCGTCTAGGGTAGCTCGACTTGAATACTACTGTAGTTTAAAAAAAAAAAAAAAAAAATAGGCGCGTGGCCAGCTTTGTCACTATCCTAGCATTCTCAGCGTTTTGTATCTACTCCGTCAATGGAAAATATATTTATTATTATCATATTATTCAAAATAAAACGGTGACCGTATACATAATGGGCTGTCATTTTATTTAGATGTGAGTATATTATAGTATACTAGTATACGAATAAGTGGTATAGTTGTCCGCCTGGACACGAAATAATGTCTGTAAAGCAAGTAAATAAGTAAACGTATACCCATGTATAATTATTCAATTTACAACCCCTACAGAAGAATGTCGTAATAATATACCCTCGTCGATTTATTCCACAATTGCCACGACTCCCGCGGTTATAATAATATAATTTCTAATAGGTAAATACATATAGAAACTCGAGAATTTCGATTTTTCGTTTAAATCGAATAAACTTATTCTCTCTTAAATTCGCACGGCGTAAAAACAATCTACGAACAAATATCGTAGCACGAGTTTCAAGGAAGAAGGGCGTAGTCAATTATATTTAAAAAAAATGAAAAACAAGCTTTGGAAAATTTAAAAACAATTTACACGGGACAAGATATAAGCAAATTTTAATAAGTGGCTCAAGGTCTATTACCTCGATATCAAATAAATAAAAACAGTTATTTTCAAAAAATGTTTCTAGACAAACAGAAAAACCGAAAAAAAAAAAAAACGAGAAAATGTAAGAAGTTTTGGTATGAGTTAAAAATATTACGGCCTTCCTTTTTTCCTGTGGACAAAATTTCTACCAGTATTTTACTACGGTTTATAACGATAGCAATGTTCCTTAAATGAAATTTGACTGAGGATGTATTTTAGAGAGGTCATTATTGGACTTTTTCAAGAGTTTTCCCAGCAAATGTGAAAAAGTATGGAAAAACGTACGGAAACTGGGAAAACCGGTACAACGTTAAACGAATATTATTAAAGACAACGCCTATTCAATTATTTTAACATAAATATGGCATATTGAAAAAGCATCAATACTGACTGAACACTCCCCCCGAGAACCGTTCTTTCGTTCGACCGTTTACCATCGCTTACGGGTGTACATTAAAAACTACTCGTAGCGGTGGCTGCACCCGGTCCCATTATGCTAGGGTGGCTTTTTTTCGTTTTCTTTTCCGAACGTGGCCCGACCGTCCGAAAAGAGATTTTCCGACCGTGCACCGCCGCGCGCGTGCCAATCATTTGATTGCGGAGCGCCGTGGTCGTGCGAGTAATGTATTTACGATTACAGTTGACACTGCAGACGCCGCGCGGGCGCGTGAGCGGTACGTAGGCGGCGGGCACGATTCCCCCCGGGGGACGCCCTGTATAGCGATGCGGACGCCGGAAAAGCCGATTGGAACTGGCGGGAGCGCGGCCCGCCCGTGTACAACAATAATAACACGAGCAATAACGACGATAATATCATTGCGTCGTTTGCCGGTCAGTCGGCGGCGCACCGACGTAAAACGGAAATTAATCGTTTTCGGCGGCGGCGCTACGCGAGTCGTTCCGTCGGTTGAACGGTCGCGAGCGTCCGAATTGTCCGGCGGGATCCGCGAATAATTTTACTACAACGGCGCCATAAGTATTTATGTACGTGTTTAGCGGCCGGCCGAGTCGCCGCGGCAAACCGGACGTGATTCCCCGCGGAACTCCTCTTTGCGGCGGGTAATAAATAAATCGAAAACGGTCAGAAACGGACTTTATCCCCCCCCCTGCCCGTTCGCAGGCGAAAAACAAAGACCGCCGCGAAAACCGCCACCGATTCGAACTGGTCTGCCGGCGAAAATCCGCGGTTTTCCCGTATCGCCGCCGGGGCCGCGCAATGTTCTCCGACAATTGACGAGAAAAAAAAAAAAACTCTGTCCCAGGATAATGGGAACGGGCGCAGCCGCTGCTATTGAGGTAATCTAACGTAATAACTGGCAAGCAACGGTTATAACTATTGCTAACGAAAAAACGATTCCGAGCTTCGGAGTTCGGTTGATCGTGTCGCGTTGTCAACAATATATATATGTCATATTTTGGTAAAATAAATACATAACGCGCATTAAACATTTTCTTTAATAATATTTGTTCGATATTGTACATATTTTCCCGGTCTTTCGGTTTTCCCATATTTTTTCCAAAGTTTTCCCATTTTTTTTCCGAAAACTCCTGGTAAAATTAAAAGATTGCATTCTTAAAGTACCACTCCAGTCGGATTTCCTTTCAGAAAATATGCTATAATTGAAAATCGGAATAAAATTGCCGGGATAAAATTTGTCCACAGAAGAAATAAACAAATTCGCTCCACTTAGATGAATAATGAATACCAAAACACCGGGGAACAACAAAACAATTTTAAATGTTCTCTTCATATTTTAGTATCGATAAATATGCCACCGTGTACATAAATTATGTATTTTGTACAAAATGTTACAATCTCGTCATGCATTCTTATCCATACGTTTGTCTAAACTTCTATGCACAGATATGTAATACAATTATTATAAGTTTATTACAATATACATCTGTGCTTCCGTGTTTTTTTTTAAATCCCCAATCGTGATTTCTAACTTGTATTTCCTCTTTGGACTTTACAGTTATAATTTTTCTGAAACTACCTGCTTATCATTAACGGAAGTTTAGAATATATTGACCACAATGGTGTTCTAGCATGTATGTTATGTTGTAAATATAATACTTTCTTATTTATACTTTATTTTGAGCAAACACATTACAATAAAACATCATAAAGACTTTCTTGGTTTCAGAGTTAATTTAACTGCAAACTATATTAATCGATTGTTACAGATAACTTTAACCATATTACATTATAGCCGAATTTTTTGAAACTACTCTAAACAAGATTACACAAAGTATAAATTCGTTTAAACAGTTATTGTTGTTTTTTTTTTCTGTTTGATAAAGGAATTTCAATTATTATAATAATACTATAGTATTAAATTTGTCTAAAATTTATCAAATCTCGATAAAATAAATTTGATTCTAGAGAATATTACTTTAGATTCTGAAAGAAGTAAAGAAGCATATGGATTTACAAAGTTGTTTTATTTTTTTTTTTTTTTTTTTGTCTGNGATGAATAATGAATACCAAAACACCGGGGAACAACAAAACAATTTTAAATGTTCTCTTCATATTTTAGTATCGATAAATATGCCACCGTGTACATAAATTATGTATTTTGTATAAAATGTTACAATCTCGTCATGCATTCTTATCCATACGTTTGTCTAAACTTCTATGCACAGATATGAAATACAATTATTATAAGTTTATTACAATATATATCTGTGCTTCCGTGTTTTTTTTTTATATCTCCAATCGTGATTTCTAACTTGTATTTCCTCTTTGGACTTTGCAGTTATTATTTTTCTAAAACTACCTACTTATCATTAACGGCAGTTTAGAATATATTGACCACAATGGTGTTCTAGCATGTACGTTATGGCAACCATTATAATATGGGTTGTTCCACGCGAACGGAAATTTGTTATATAACGTGGTTGTAAGATGGAGACAATAAATGAATGGGCAGCACGATTTAAGATTTAAGAATACGGGTTTATTATTTTAGTATCCATAGAAATATACAATATTTGATGAGTAATACATGAGTATTGTTGAATGCGTTTTTTGAACTTCGAGGTTTTAATGTTAGTTGACCTGTTTAAAATGTTCTTCTTTTTTTTTTTTTTATCAGTTGTCAAAGAACAATCCCGAGCTCATAATACTACTGCGCGTGTGTCCCGCACAGTAACGTAATTACGGTTGTGGAGTGGGAGGGGATCAATAGTTGGTCACAAGAATACAGAACATTTTTATTTTTTTTTTTTTTTTTTTTTTTTTGTCTGTGAATACCTGCTCGGATTTCTACGTGTAGCAGCACCTTTTCTGAAAGTAAATCAATATGGAGAGGTACTTTAGAAAGGTCATTTTTCGATTTTCTCAAGAGTTTTCCCAGCAATTGTGAAAACCGGGAAAAACATAGGAAAACCAGAAAAATCGGTACAACATTAATCAAATATTATTAAGCAAAATATATAAAGCCTATTTAGTTATTTAATTGTTGACGAAGCACCACTATCAACTGAACTCCACTCAAAATCGTTTTCTCTTAAGCAACGGTTTATCGTTGCTTACAGGTATACATTAAATTATCTAGAACATTGGCTGCATCCGTCCCCATTATTCTATGACGTATTTTTCATAATATTTAATATGTAAAATTTAAAAAATTTAAAAAAAATTAATGAGTTTATACTACTAACTAGTGTTCCACTATTTTAGGCGGGAAATCGAGAAGGTAGAATATATATTATAAAGTTATTTAATTCATATCTGTATGCAACAATAAATTATTGCTGGATAAATACGATTCTGAGCGGAGTTCGTTTAAAATGTTTAAACATGTTTCGAAAATACCAGTAATTTTTACCAACATTTTTTTTCCAAAATTTGCGCTCATAAAAAACTACTGCATTACTCCTACTGACTAACCTGATGAACTTGGTATTGAATTTTCAAGCATTATTGTTCGGCCACACAATTTTAACCGCATAATACTTACCATAAATTACTCACAAGGACAAAAATATAAAAGTAAATAAAAGTAGCGGCGTATGCAACTTATTAGTACGCCCGGAATTGAAAAATCGGAAAATCAACGCGTGTAAAATATTGTGTCGTATAGTTACGAATATCGGAACTTTGATCGGCCGCAGTTGTCGTCGAATGAACTTTATTCGTTGAGGTACTTTACGGATGCTAAATTTACGAATGCATCAAGAACCCACGGGTGCTATGCCGCCGCAATATCCTTTACGACACAGCCCTTACATTATGCAACTATACGGTTCATTTACAATTTTGTACATAGGTACGAGGTCGGCTATTTTAATATCAGTATAACTATATTTTAACATTATTGTTGTTCATAATACACACGTGCGTTGTCCGTAAGAAAATCTGTATTTTGTTCATATCGTTAATTACGAAAAGCGCGGATAAAATATTTGGTCCTAATTACGAAAAAGCTTATAAGGTTTTTCCGGGGGTGGGGAGAGTGTTAATTTTAAATTCGGAGACGCTTAAGACCCCCTGCTCAAGTACACTCCCGTAGTTCACGCAGTACTCTAAGTACAATAAGTACGTATTGCCTAGATCCTTAACATACCGACCGACATCTCGGCTATGGCAGTTAAGGATTACGATTCTACCATCCGCACTCGTATAACCGAATAGATATTTTAGTTACGAAGAGTACGCAAGAGCTATTTCTGAATGTCTGATAACGATAGAGTCACAGTTGGAACGTAAAGTCGGTCCGGATACGATAGCACCGTAATATGGACGTTATACCAGTCGCGTCCAAATTCTGAATTTCGAACTGCTACAACGGTCGTTGTCTTATCACACACTCAAAACCGGTGACCGCCGTGGCAAAATAGAAACGTACGTTTCCGTAAGTTTTTCCGGAAGAGCGGCGAGAAGAGAAACAAAGCGGGCGTGCCGTATTATATAGCGCGCGGGTGGCATTTTGTCGCGCGCAATACGACGGCGGCGGCGGCGGCGGCACGGCAAGTCCGAACGGGGTCGGCCGCGGCGGGACGTGACCTTATGTATATACGTATTCGCCCCGGCGACCGTTCGGAGGCCGGAGAGGGAGGGGGCGACTATTTATTTTTACCGGCCCCTATGCCCGGCCCACCCCCCATCCCCCTTTGAACCGCCGCCGCCGACGCCGCCACCACCGCCGCCGCCGCCGCCGCTCGTTCGTTCGTTCGTCCGTTCGTCCGTTCGTAAAGCGGACGGACCCGTGACGCGGCCACCGCAGGTATCGCGTGACCTACACGCGATCCACACGCCGTAGACACGTAAATGTACGTACGCGCCCGATACGTACGTATATACGCACGTAGATTATCGTAATAATATTATAATTATATGCACGCGGTGTCTTCCGTAATCTCACGCGACAGTTTACGGTATCCCCTGTGAAATTAATTTCGTTTTACACGCGTCAGAAACGGGGAAAAATTCGCCGGGTTAATAACTTTTTTAAATTCGCTCGGGAACTCGTTCTGCAGTGCGTTTCGGAATGAACGAGTGGGTGGTGGTAATTCGTAAATTTGATGAATTTCGGAATCTTATTCGGAATTGAATTTGCACTCTCTTTTTTCAATTTTGTTTCAAATATTCACAAAACGTGTTTTACAAAAAAAAAAAAAAAAAAAAACAAGACTTGCAACTAAAAAATTCTTGTTTTCGTTATCGAAAGATGCTAAATTCACATTAGTTTTACTGTGCGACAGAACCTACAAATTACTATTGCTCTAAAATGCCCTCGATAGCTCCTTATTCCAACATTATTGGCGTATATCGTTGTAAGAAAAACTCGTCGAAATACACCGCAAGCACTATGTCTATTACGTTATTTTAAAAATAGGTAACTCCTCAATCTTCCCTTTGTTTACCTATAGTTATTTTTACAAAAAAAAAAAAAAAAAAAATCAAATATCAAATTCACTAAATAATAAATAATAAACAATTAATGTGATATTGTAATTTGAATCAATAATATTGTGATAAGACACGCACGGTCACTCTATGTACGATACGTTGGATAACATATTGGAATCTATCGTAGTTCTCTGTTGATTATTTTAAATTAAAATTATAAAATGATTATTTAAATAACAATTATATGCTGCATAGAAAACAAAAATGAGTGTACAACATTATAAGAAAAAATGATGTTTGTAAAAGATACAATTATGGTGAAAAATTTGATCACAGGTGGAAAAAAATAGCAAAAATCATACTGAAATCGATATGTTCTTGCCACGCTCAGATTCTAAATGGCAAAATAATTAGATTAATAACAAAGCAGCTTTGTGTGATAAGTAAAATTACTTCTTCAAAATAAGTTTACATACAGATATAGTTTAAAAGGACAATATTGTTACAACACTGCATCAGTCGAGGCCGTACAATATATCACAATAATTCAATAACTTTGAGAAGGAACAGTAAACACCACTATAACTATAATCGTAAAAAGGACGATAAAATAGAGCGGCGAGTTGAGAACAAAAGTAAACCATAATGATAGACGTCACAAACGTTCGAGGACTACATTAGTAGTATAAAGGATTATTATAAAATCGAAGAAGAAACCAAGCGGAAATTGTATGAAATCGAAAACTGGGAGAAATGCTGCTGGACCAATTAAACTAAATCTGTAATTGAATTATAATTATGTAAAAAGAAAGATAAAAAGACGGACATACTTCCCACGATGGGTGAGCCACTGTTATAGGTGAGACCTTGAGAAGGTAGGGAATAAAGAAGAATTTAATGTAAATCTGTACCTACTCAACGATTATACATTGCTAACGTAAAACGTTTCTGAGCGGAGTTCGGTTGTACAATTTATGAAAATGTGTGCAATAATAATATACGTGTTTTTAATGGCGTCAAAATTTGATATAAAAAAAAAAAACTAATACATTTCTCGTTTCGCTCAGAATTTGAAAATATATTATTCAAGTCGGGGTCAAAACTTACTCACAGCGATTTCGAAAAGAACGCGAAAAACTCTGGAAATTGTATACGGTGGTGACAAGGTTTTGGAGACTTTGAACACGACAAAACCAAAAATAACCATTAAACCTGTTTGTTTTTCCGATCGATTTACTACGCACGTCCACTACCGTTCGAAGACAATACCGCCAGACCCTAAATCAAATACTCCGATGATAACAATGCTCGTATAGTCGTATGGGACTAAACACGAAATCAATTTTCTAAACGTATATTTTGTTCAACCACGTGCGCGCGTTAGGTATTTACAAGCCCGTCGACAATTTGTCGAGTTAATATTATTATAGCTCGGTATCATCGTATACAACAACGACTGGATTTCACGAAATTTTCTGTACGATATTATCGCACACAATGCAAGGTAATATACGTGTATATTGTTTTTAATGTTATTCACAGATTACAGTCAAATTTGTGTTTCATTCACATATTTAAAGGGATCGGATACGAAATGTGAAAACAACTTTAAAAATCCATCGTTAGAGGAACATGAGAGATCGGTCAGGCCACTTGTTCATTTTTCATTCCTTAAATTTCAAAAATTATAACTAAAAACTTAAAAAAAAGAAGGCCGTAATATATTTTAACTAATACTTATACTTTTTATATTTTCTCGTTTTTTTTAGTTTTTCAAATTTGATGAGAAAACTGAGAATAATCTATCAAAAAATGGCCTCCTTAAAGTATCTCCACACATCGATTTCTTTTCAGAAAATGTGCTACACTTAGAAATCCAAGCAAGTCTTTTGGTAGAAAAGTTGTTAACAGTTAAAAAAAAATAAACATCTTTGTAAAGCAATAAGCTTTTCAGCTCCATTTCAGAATCTAAAATTTGGGAAGTTAGAGTGTAAATTTAATGTTTATCTACGATTAACTGTTGCTAACGAAAAACAATTCTGAATAGGGTTCGTATAATTGTGTTGCTTTATCAACAACATACATGTCATATTATGGTAAAATAATCACATATCGATGATGTATTCTTTAATAAAATTGTATCTATTTTCTCGATGTTTAACATGTTTTTCCTAATTATACCACCACAAGAAAGTTTTCTTTTAGAAAAATTGCTATATTTCTTACTTAGGAGTAAGATTTCTGGCAGAATTTAAGTACACATTATAAAAACATCTTTGTGAAACCAACACATTCTTCACTACTTTCAAAATATAAAATGTATAAATAAAACAAAGTTTACACTATTAATGGGTGTCCCATTGTTGTAGGTAGGAAGTCAGGACAATGTAAATAGTTATTGAATTTATATTTGTATGCATTGATAAATTATTACAAAAGAAAAATGACTCTGATTCAAGTTCAGTTAAATATATTTTAAAATGACGTGATTTTTTTCGATCTTCGTCAAAATTTGAACTTTAAAAAGTCAAAAAAAAACTACTAAACTACGTTCAACTTTTTTAGGTCTCGATTATTATTTTTAACTGGATTAAAATAGCTATTTTCATAAACTTTCTGGTTTTTTCTACTGTTTTTATCGGTTTTTTAAATTATTAGGAAATTTACTAGCTAAATTAAAAAAAAACCTTTTAAATTAACCAACTATGAACAATTTGTTTTCAGAAAAGATACTTGGTAGTAAAGTTTTTAATAGCTAGACAGAAAAAAAATACACCATACAATACAAATCTCAGAATATGAAACTAGAACTGAATTTTAAAAAGTATCCTGATCGAACTCGTGTTGAATTTAAATCTTTTTTTTGGAATTCTTTTCAGGTCGCTATATCGATCGGACTGATTGAAAGAAAATTAGTTTACATTGCTATGCTATGTAAAATATTTGATATCCAATCCCTTTCTAATTAGTAAAGTATGATTAGAAAAAAACGAAACTTTTTATATAAAAGTGGTTATTTTAAAATGATAAAATTTAATGTTTATCACTTTCAACGTAATTTTCTTTCATATCTACATACTGTTGCACACGTCGCTGATATTTCTGAAAACAGTGATGCCAATAACTTTCAACCAGCCCGTCAGCCCATTCAGAAGTTCCACCATTTTCTTTTTTACGTCATCATCTGTTTAACAATGGCGGTTTCCTTTTGTAAAAATATTTAGTTGAAATTGCATTGTGATCTGGAACATTATCTTGGTGAGGGCCAAACTATCTCCAATATTTTTAACACGTTCTCTAAATTTAGTTAATACCTCTACAATAATATTGATGGACTATTTTACGATCTTGCCGTATGATTCTGTCGATGTTATCAACATTTTCAATTGTTAAAGACGTGATAGGACGAGCATCATCTTTAATGTCTTCTCTTTCACTACAAAAAGTATAAAACTTTTGATGCCATTAAAAAATTTGAACTCGTGATATGCATTTTTTGTCATAAACTTATTTAATATTCGAAACGAACCCACAGCGGTTTTCTTTAATTTCGCAAAATACGTATAAGACAAATTAACCGATTTCATTTATACTGACAAAATATACTGATATAAGTATTTCAAAATAATATTTTAATAATCGCTTTGTGGATAACGAGATAGTCTTGATTTTATTGAGGGAGTCTCGACAGTCTCGTTATTTTCGTGTCAAACCTCGTATTATTTAATACATTGCATACATATTAAATATTCGGATTGATCGTTCCCGTGTTTAACCATTTGAGACCGCGTTCCAAGAGAAACGGTTATAAGGGAAGACATTTGAGACCTTTTTACCATTAGTAAATTTCCAATCATTATAGTATGCTAAAAAATAAAAAAAATACTACAATAATAGGTAACTATAGTTTAAGTTTATAACCAGATAACAAAAATGTATGTTAATCTAACCAGGTATAATGAGCAGGAATTAAAATCAACGTGCTCATATTATTTTTTGGGTGAAATAAAAGTACCTATTTTATGTGCATTGTTATCACGGAGGAAAAATTACGCAGTTGAAAATTATTAATACTATGTTCGAGAACGCCGGCAACAACGAACGGCCCATCTGCATTTTTAATATCTATGATGAAATTGATGTTTTCGCCTACCGGCCGTGATAAAACAGCGCACCGATAATATTCGTCTGCCTTAAAAAAATATATTTATAAAAAAAAAAACTACTGGGTTGTGTTTACACGATAAATGTATTAACTTACAACGGTAATAATGCTATTATAATAATATGATGAGAGACCCTGAGTATTAGAATTTCGCCCGAGTCTCAAAATAACGAGAAAAATATTATTATTATGGAACTCGGAGGAGTCGTTCAATTATTATTATTATATTTCTTTATTTTCACGCTCCGGCTCTGCAGCGATGCTCGAAGAGCTTACGTGAATGGTAAAATTAGCGTAAAGCCATTAATTTCTGCAGTTCAGTCACTTTCACGCATCGAATAGTGCCCGCGCTTTTTTTTCTCCCCCACTTCTACGGAGGATTTAATTTCCGGTGACCTCTTTCAACTATCCCCACCTAACTGCAAATTATTTGAGGGCGTTAAATGTCCAACTGTATTAATTACCTAATAAAGTGTATAAGAACTCGCTTTATGAGCGACTGTGACATTGTTCGTACAAACATTGATGTAATTAATTTTTGGACTTAAAAGCTTATTGCGGTTACTGCCATATTTTTTTTTTTCAATTTCTATACGGCATCAATATTGTATTCTGCGGCGTTTTTGATTGACACATAACAAAATATTAAAGTTTCTAAACTAAAATTATTAACGTGCATTGTGTTTGTTATTGTCTATTGTTCTCATAAAGTGTCGTTGTCGGAAGAAATAGTGCAGTGAAATTTCGAGGTGCAAACAAAAGTTTATCACTCACTTGTGTATTTTATTAATATTGTTTATAATATTTCATTAGTATTCTGTGACAAATCCTATCAAATTGAGCTAATTTTTGAACCATTCCGATTGCAATAATAAAAAATTATATTTAGCTTTTGCCACTAAATGAGCTATTATTTACTTTTTCACGGTTTGTCTTATTTACCTCTATAGTTTTCATAAAAATTTCACATAGTACTAGAATTTAATTAACCGGCTATATTATTGCCGGAAACAAGTGAAATCGTCGTTATCTAAGAAAAAAAGAGCCGATACTGGTGATGAGTATACCGCTATTATAGGTGGCAAGTTGGTAAGGCATAATACATAAACCTATTTAATTTCTATCTATATGCAACAAAAATTATACAAATTTTAACTAATGAAACGCCGTGAATATTTGTCAGTTTTTCTCAGCTATTATAAAAACTGCTTGATAAATCAATAATAACTTCCCTAGTACACAAACAAGACCCAAAATTCAACAAAAAAATAGACGGTTTGTAATTTGTTTGAATAACTCATAGATACAAACAAAAACACACATAGTGAAACCGATCAGAACCTAATATGACTGTTGTGTTGGAAGAAAAACGATCAAAAAAGGTCACAAAATGCACAGAAATATATAAGCATCAATAGGTTATTTTAGTGATACGTAATTTGTTTTTAAATGTTCTATATTATAATTGTAAAGACAAATATTATTTTTCTATCTTTAATTTATTTACATTCTTTTTAAGAAATTATTATTTTAGAACTTTTTTTTTAAAATTTATATTTTTTGAATGTAATATAAATCAATCATTTCAAAATGTACAAAGTTTGACGTATAACCCGTAGGGACGCGATACTTATGAATCTTAATAATACTATATAAAATACCTACTTTTTACTTTATACTTAAGTTATTTTAACAACTTGAAAAATTAAAATCCTTTTTAATATTTAATTAATTGAAATTTCAATAGAAATAACACGTACTTATACTAAAATATTTGCATTCCAAAATTATCATACTTAAGTGTAAAAAGTTAAATTTTAAAATATGATAAAATTATTATTTATATAATTACTTTGTTATCTAATTTTTCTAGTTTTTCTCTTTAAAATTCATATTTTTCATATGTGTCACGGTCGATATAATTTATTTGCATTTCAATTCAGGGGTTGATTGAACGCTAAATTTGAAATAACCGTGTACCTACGAGTCGAAAAAAAATATTACTAGACAAATATGATTTTCTTTTTTTTTTTTTTTTTTTTTAGATAATACGGTCGGAAAATAAGAACGAGTAAATACGAACACGAATACTGCACAAAATAGTTGTGGCAAACCCATTTAATTAAAATATCATACCCACCGCCTACTTATAATAAATCGCGGTCTGCTTAAAACTACCGTTAATATATTTTACTTGCATTCGTGTTTTTAGAAAAAATCGATATTCCCTAATTGTTACACGACATGCATTTAATACAACATAATATTATGTTTGTACCGAAAATGTTTCTTTCGTCGGCTTATTATTTTCGTTGGTATATTTAAGTTTAAAATCAATATAATGTGGGTTTTGTTTTTAATTTTCCACGAGTTTCAAGTAGAATCCGGGCTTAATACTTCTGATGGTTAATTTGCGCTATTTTCGTAGATGGGAAAGTAGAATTCATAGATTAATTTCCCATGTCTCGCGACAATGTATGATCACGAACGAAAAAATAACGAACTTTGATTAACCGTGTTTTGAAATACAATGATTTTTACGATATTCATCGAAATCTTTAAATAACTTGTAAAAAAAAAAATTATACATGACATGAGTTTTACTCAGTGCTTAGAATCGTGTTCAATTTTCAAGAATGTTTAATTGACCAAAACAATTATTCGTGCATATAACCAAATAAAAATGTTAAAAAAATTGACAATTTCAAATAGATAACTTACAAATGTCCAGAATATTTTGAAAAATGTACTAATAAAAAAAAAGGGCTAATATTAATATTCTATAAAAATTTGGATTCTCTGCGAATATTGTTTACTGAATTATAATACAATAAAATATTAACGATAACCAAGATCGTTATTGTATACATTTTTCCGTTTTTCCTACTTTTTTTTTTCTCGAATATTAGAAACTATTATTCTTATCGGAATACAAAACGACTATGATAAATATAAACTTTTAAAAATTTCTAAAACTATAAGACAAATTTAATAATGCTGACTCACCGTCTTACTGCTATTAGGTTTTCAATGTCGGTTCGCAATATCATAATTTCTGAATGTGTTTAAATTTCTATTTTTTCGTTTAATTTATTTAATAGGTAGATGTTTTTTTATTTTTCTCAAAACCATTAATTTTACTGATTATGACTGAGTTAATTCATTTCTTGTTCCCGTTATTAATTATTAAACTACATTAACAAACTAGATTATAATATTGGCCTTATCGTCCTTATCTAAAGGTGGCCGACAATGTAGTCGGTAATCTCGAGATTGTGTTCACTAATATTGACGGCCGCCATAGACTTTGACGTGCGAATTCGAAATCTCGTATAAAGTAAAATACAGTCAAATAGTAGGTACTCTATCAAATCCATCAACTGTTTTTGTGTCCTAACGATATTAGTTCTAAATAAATTATTACGAAACTATAGCGAAAAGAATATACGGAACACATATAAGAACACACACGCCTGTCGATTTACATTATGAAAACGATGTTATTTTTAAAAATACGTGAATTTTTTCGGTGTTGCGCGATGGTCATATTACAATACGTAAACGTAATAATGTGTAGTTACACGGAAAACAGGCATTTCTATAATATGTTGTACCGTTTTGTACCGAGTTTTATATTGTGTATACACTCTGTTCGATGTAGGTACTATAAAAAAAAAAAAAAAACAAAAAACAAACAACCCTGCTTCGTAAAAGCATAAACTAACATCGTTACGATAGTAATTCATGATGATATGTTTAATAGCTGCACTCGTGCGTTGTATAACATAATCGTGTTTAACTTAAAACCCACGCGGGGAAAAAATCGAATCTATATACCGCTATATATTGTATACTTCATATTATATTTTTCATACGCTACGACTATAATACTACTATGATAATAATGTAACGTTTCAATCTCGCAATAAAAATAAATCTGAATTTGTAGCGAACATATTAACAAGTTGTTTCTGTTGTTGTTTTTTTTTTTTTTTTTTTGTAATAGCGCAAATTTATATTCGCCATCATCGTCACGTATGAATCATATTATTCGGTTTCCCAATCGTGTTGCTAACGCGTATGAAGTATATTCGTTTGAATTTACAGTAATCGTTAATCGTTATTATTATTTATGCTATTATAGTGCCGAATTGTAATACGAAGTCGCTGTATGTATTCTCGGTCATAATATATTTCACTGCTATTGTGTTAAACAATAATAATACACTCGTATTTTGTAATTTGATACATATTTTGTGTGCATACGGATTCTGATAGAGGTTTTCAACACTTTTATGATGAGTGAAAATGCTCTGATTTTGAAGTATCGTGAAAAAATATTCCACGAAATTTTTTTTTTTTTTTTAAATGCTCAACAGTGCACGCCGCTGAAATATTACTATATATTTATAATATGCCGTACATATTTTTTTTATGATATATCTATAGACTCGTTAAGCTGATATATAGTTAAGCACGGTTATGAATAAATTAAAAATGACGATTCCAGGGCGTAAATAAAAATATTTAATCATCTATCCCATGACTGTCCCCGACTAGTACTATCTCACTCAATATTGTTTACCCGTTTCGTCCCATAAACATAATACATTCATTAACGTGTTCATGTACATAATTTACCTAGGATAGAGAATATAAATAACCAATAGCAAAATTTTCATTCCGTGAAATTGCGTTATTTGTATTGGTGTACATGTCGTAGACCCTATGGAAAATTTGCGAAAAGACTACTGAAAAACTGAAAAAGTATATATTGTTATATTTGTTCTTTCTTTTTGTGAAATAAAACTAGTAATGCAATAGTCGAAAACTTTAAAATTATCTAAACTTCACTGATACTCGCCATTGATACAGTTTATGATATAAATATAATACTATATACTTGTAATAAGTACCATACTTATTCAGACTATTCAGTTTACATGTAATAATAATTCTATTGAACCTTTTTTTTTTTTTGTAAACGTAATAAATTACTCTAAATATAAAAAAATTAAAATAGCTATCACTATATTTTAATGATTGTAGTTTTTAAAAGGCCTAACTGCTATATGCAATAAGCCTGAAAAACAGTAGGTCGTTTGGAAAAATAATAAATAGTTCGCAAACGAGCTACCCCGTTGCAAAGAGCCTAGCCTTTTTGCAAAATCACTAATTTTCCATATAGCCTACGATATATACATGCACAGCAAAACGTGTTCACAATTCAAATACGTCGTATTAACATCATTCCATATAGACATATTAACAAAGTGCGTTTAAAAGAGATAAATGGAGGAATAAAACGCTAAACATCATAGAGGTTAGAAGCGGTTTGACAGGGTTGCCAGATGTTTTATCAAGATAAATGTTAAAAAAATGTTTATTTTATTAATTATTTGAAATAACGTTAAACATCAAACAAATCGTTAAAAAAAAAAAAAAAAAAAAAAATAACATTGTAAAACCAGTGATCAAATTGTTATTATTGAATGATTCGGTAACCACCGTAACCTACCGGTAACTATAGTTCGCTTCGATCAAATATAAAAATTATAGCATATTATGGTCCATTCGTATCTATATAATCTACGCAGAAAACCAGGAACCATTATTGAATGAGATATAATCGGGGGCAGTCACAGACAGAATGAATCAATATTTTTATTTTCGCCGTGATATTGCGATTACGTATCTACACGATTGTATCTTCAAATTATTATTACTACAAACGTGCGTATCTAACTATCTTATTGTTGGTCAAGGAACATTTATGGCGTAATGAAAATATATTTATATATATTTCATACATGATCGTCCCTAACTATTGCCTATCCTTTTTTAATCAATACTGATCATAAACATCATAGACGGGGGTCGGCGAAAAAGGAAAGCGCAAGCAATTTATGAATGAGTTTATCCCTAATTGTTTTACCCATGAAAACCAACACGGCTCAGTAAATATTCCTTATTTTTTTTTTTTTTATAATATTTAATACGCTATAAGTAACAAATTCAATAACGCGAAATAACAGTGTATATTGACTTCGCAACAGCCGCCTACGATTACAATATAATAACTTGTTTCTCGGCGCAGAATGAGAAGGGTATAATATTATATAATATACAGTTTACAACAATACGAGTATTATGTATTTTTTCCTCATACAACGCTCTTTGGAGTAGTAAAAGGTTTTATTTAACAATATTTACGAGTTGTGTATAGATATTAATACGGGCGATTTTAGATTCTGATTTTAGCGAAGAATGTATTAGTTTTACAAAGATGTTTATTTTTTTTATTTTTTATGTGAACACTTTTTTGCTAGAAAGCTTAGTTCGATAATCAAGAATAGCACGTTTTTTGAAAGAAATGTTCTCTAGGTGGTGCTTTGGAGAAGTCGTTTTGGAAATTCTCATTAATATTCGAGAAAAAGACTGAAAGATTTTTATTTATTTTTTGTTTTTATCAAGTTTTTACGATTTTAGTTTAAATCATTTTTTAAACAATCATTGTTGTCATGGAAACGCATATTATTGTAATCGTCTTACCATAATATGAAATACACATTGTTTACGAAGCAACATTATCAACCGAACTCCACTCATAATTAATTTTCCTTTAGCAATGGTTGATTATTGCTTACAGATATACAATAAATTTCTGTCAGCTTCCTACCTTCCGAACTTTCTACAACTACATTACTACCTACAACAGTGGCTGCAGCACATGCGAAGCATGCCCATTCTTTTTTATTTGGAAATTATTTTCTCGATTGATAATTAGTTTTTTTTCTGTCCAACCAAATCTGAAGTAATCATTATACGCCACGTCATAGCTTTAGAGGTTTTTAAACAACTGTATAACCTTATTGTTTGATACGGTTTTGACGAATAGCTAAAGATGACGCACTGTTATTCTTCGAATTTCGCGTTCTGTTAAAATTCGACTCATTTCGACCTAAGTGCCACAATGTTCCAAATAACGTAATTTCGATTGTAATTATTATTTACTGATCGTCTTGACGTCGCGTTTATCACAAAAATCGACTTGCGGCAGATCAACCGGCGAACGAGACGCGGAAAACCCATCCTGTGTCGTATATTTGCCGTAATAATTTTACTCACGAAACGCGGAGACGCCTTACCTGCAGCAGTAAGTGTGCCAGCGGCGGAGTTCAAATCGCGTTGTTTTGCGCGCCACCGAGTCTCGCCATGCCACGCCGCGCCGGCTGCAGCGGGCTGGCGGTCGTCTCGCGCGCGTTTCACGACCCGACGAGAAGATTTCACGTTCGACCGGTCGGAAACTTTTCCTCTCAATCTCGTCAACTTTTCGGTTGCCGCCAGAAAGTTGCGGCCGTCTTTAAATTAAAATATGAGAGTTCCTATACAGCGCACCGCGCCCGTTTTAACCACAGACGTTTTAAATCGTCAGCAACTACAAAACACCGAGTGCGCGATATATTATATCACGTATAAGTATTTAGAAATTCGTAATCACGAGAATAAATACGAATCTTTTGGCCCACCTTTTGAGTGAATGCGACCGAGCAAGAATAAGGGCCGCGGTGTCTGCGAAATATTAAAAGCACCGCAGGTATAAAATATTATTATTTATTCATTGATTATAGGTTACTTTTACTTTTACTAACAGATTTTTATCGACGATTTTGCCGTTTGACTATTAATTCGGAAAATTTAAGCTTTCAGCCCCTCCTCTTCCCAAAATGAATGAACCTTTACGTTTACATGACAGAAAAACAATAATCATTTATAAACGACTGTATATACTTAGAGCCAAACGTCTGGTGAGAAAAAAAAATCACGAAACATAACCTCATATATTTCAATATCGCTTCGTCTGAATAGCGAGCTTGTATGTCGTGACTTAATCGAAAATAAAACCTCCGATATTTTGTGTTATGCGAAATTACGTCGCGTGGGTCATCAGTGGGGAAAAATATTTTCACTCCGGATATGTATTTTTGTTTTTCTTTTATCGTGATGGAAAGAACTACCCAAGGCCCTTCGATGTGTCTTATTTTGTAAACGTGGCAGGTTTTTTTTTATCTCCTTTCATCGTGTATAAAAAAAGAAAATAAAACTGTAAGTTTTATTTTTAGCGATGCGTCTCGATTAATATTATTAATTTAGAGATAGGATGTTAATGACCTAAAAAAAATATCAAAACAGACCGCAAAAAATATGCTTTAAATGACTTAGGATATATTTTTAAAAAATTACCTGAACAATTTTAAAAAAATGATTAAAAAAGTATTATAAATGTGTTCACAAAAATGTTTATTTTTCGGTGATATATTATTAGGGTCAAATAAAATACTGTGTATCGATAATTGTTCATATACTTATATCAAGTCATAAAAATATTCGTAAAATTAATCGTGAGAGAGAAAAACACATCCACATTAATAATATTATAATAAATGTATTTATAGCTAAAAAAACATGGTTTAAAAAAAAAAAAAACAAAAGCTGATACTGGGGATGCAATAGGCCACTATTGTAGTTTAAATGTAGAAAAGGTAAGATACATAATGTTATTTCATTAATATTAATTGTAAGCAACGGTAAACCATTAGTTGACAAAATACGATTCCGAGCGTAATTCAGTAATACATAATTTGAAGTGCCGTAATTTTTTTTTGCCATATCCATTTAAATTTGATTTCAAAACGCTTATAAAAAAAAAAAGAAAAAAGTCGTTCAATGATTTTAGAAATTTTCCCACGTCTAGATAAGTCCAGTATAAGTATTATTATCAAGTTTCAAGTCTCTACGTGTATTTATAATCGAATTACAGCAAAAAACTCCCAAAAATTTAAATTCTTTAAAAACTCAAAAGTTTTGGCAATGATACCGTAAAAAATTTAATGAAAAAGGCAGCAAATAAAGTGTCTTGTGATTTTTCGATTAAATCACTTTTTCTGGTAGAAAACGTCGTCCATGTTTTTATAAAATAATGAAATCATGAAATTGTACGTTTTCTTACGTTTTTTTCCAACTTAAGTGCTTTTATTTAAAAAAATATGGCGTCGAAAATCAAAAATTTATCTATATAAAGTACCAAATAAGCAACTTGACATTTCAGCTAAGTTACTGCACGTAAAAATCGGAGCAAGTTTACTAGGAAAAAACGTGTCCGCAGGCTAGAACAAAGAATAAAGAAAAAAAAATAAACGTTTCAGTAATAGCAATAGCCCCCTCGCTACGCTCGGAATCTAAAATGCAAAATAAAATTTATCTGATATTCTGAATGTATATGAAGCGTGAAACGAGTTTTTACGTAAGATAGCATTTTCGTATGCGATTTGGAGGAGAAAAACGGGGAAAACTCATCAGCACGCTATCTGTAAATTATTATTATTATTATTATCGTTATGCCGTAGTTGTTTTTGTTGTTGTTTTCGTAATCGTGTTATCATATTATAAAACTGTGTTTACGACACGACAAAAGAAGAGTAAAACAAACATAAAAAAAAAAAAAAGTCACATACCTAATATTTACTATAAACCTACGGTGTTTATTGTATACCTGCACACAACGAGCGCGTAATTAATTTGCCAAAACCACGCGCGTATTCTAACCGGAGGCTACACTATCTTAATACCCGTGTACAGGGCGTATCTACAGTATTTGACGATGCCCCACGTAATTGCACAGTAGGAATTTATCGAATTCTCCAGTGCGCCCTGTATGTTGTATAGCAGTGCGCCGGAATATTGTTATAAGTATCATACTCGACTGCGTTACTCGTGCGTACACGTACGAAAACGTGCAAAAAAAACCGATGATGGGTTTTTTGTGCGTGTGCGTGTGTGTGTGTGTGTGTGTGTGTGTGTGTGTGTGTGTGTGTGTGTATTGTATACATTAAACATTATTATTAATATCGTGCCCCTGCAATAGGCATATATGACCCCGGAGCCAAAGACGCGGATTATCATGCACGCGGTATCTCGCGGCATGTAATAATTAAACCGCGTATACGTATTATAATAATAAACGAACGAGTGCACTATACACAATCTCTTTGAAAAACGTTGGTAAAATATTTTCGTCTGTGTGCACTGCACACTGTGCGCGGTATTATAATATACGTATGTGTGTATACGTACGTGAGCGTTTTGCACAAATGTTTTCAAAATTTATACGCCTATCCTTTACATTATATACGCACTATCGCGAGAAAATATTTTATAAAACCAAACATAATATTATTGAAACATAATATCGTAACCGCGTTTCCTTCGTGCACAACATTATAACGCGTAGAAAAACGTTCAGAACATATTTTCTAAGTTTTAGTTCGCATATTACAAAAAAGGTACACGCAAAATATTGTTAACCGCATGTATTGCAGTGTGTACGATATTGCGTTATACAAACTTTTTTTTCGTGACCGAACATTATTAAAAAACGGTTTTTTTTAACAACGTGGACAAATTACAAATGGACACTAAAACGAAAACGGCGGTACACCGGCCGATGTTTACAAGTTTTGAACCGGTCTCGACCGGTATGGACGTGCCGATATATTGCCGGTGATGACGCGCGACCATGTTCTCGGCCAATAAACGATACGGAAAATGCCGAAATAACTAAAAACATATAACGAAGACAATGTTGATTGTTATACAGGATGTTTAATATTTACGCGAGACACTCGTTATTTTGGAAAATGTGTATTTTTTTTTTTGTTGCACTATGACATTACTCTCGGTTTTTGCCATTTTGAAACTTGGGGCTGAAATCATTATATTTATAATATCTTCTTCTTCTTTTTTTCTTATTTTTACATCTCGAGAGTTCGTTTAAGACCATTGCTGCATCACACAGTTCCTTCCGTCTCTGTTTCTCTGGTGCTACCAGAGACCTTATAGTCTTCTGCCAAATCCTTTATCAGACCATCGATGTTTAGGTTGCCTAAAGGCCACTTATCTTGCGGTGTCTAATTCGGTTTTTCCCTTGCAATCGTTTTAGATGTAAGTTGACGGCCTAGCCGACTGAGAGTGTTTTGGCCCGAATCACCCCTATTATGTTTGGTTACCCAAAAAGGAGTTGCATTATTTATTTATAATAAATCGCAGTAAAAAACAAAAACAATTTCTATCCTTCTTCCCTTTTTTTTTTCGCCTATCAGATTTTGTCGGACTAATTTTCGTTCGAGGCGTAATCCACTATATTATAGTATAACAGCTCTACTACGGTCGGTTTCCCCAAACATATACTCGAAATAAAACTGCCCGCGCTCTCACAGCGGATATTAATGACGGTCCAAGTGCCGATAACCCGTCGACCAATTTTGTACACATTAGGTATACCTAGTAAATCCTCATACAATGGTATTTTTTTTTATTTTCTATAAGCAGACGTACAAATAGAGAATGGTTTTTTTTTTTTTTTTTTTTTGTCTGAAGCGGTCGTGCACCACGGGTGTAGCTGAATTGCCTATGGATAACGCCGTTCTATATATTAATACAAAATAACATTATTATGTATATGTACTCGAAATATAATATCCGAAACATTATTTTTAAAATATATAATTGTTCGATTCTATAATAATTTTGTGTTTTCCTTTAGATATAATACGATATAAATTTTAAATATGAGTACATACTATACTTGACACGTATTTAAAATTTGGCCCCGTCGAACGGCATGCGAAAAAAAAACGTAGAAAAAAACCGATAACGATATTATTATTTATAACGAACTTGATATTTTTTAGTCTCTCGTTTATTCAGTAAACTAAGTAGAGGTAACGAATAATTAAAAAAAAAAAAAAAAACCCGGGAAATGTTTGATTTACGAGTAACTATACACTTTCCCTAACGTCGTAACGGGAAAAAATAAATCTAAATTATAATTTTTTTCTTTTTTTAATACATCAAAAGTATATACATATATATATCTGTATATAATTTCTTAAATTTACGACTTTTTACGAAAAGTATGAAATATACTTGTTTCAATAATGAACCGATGAAAAAAAAAAATTTAATTTATTTCCCCGCCTCCGAAAAATGCATGACCCGTGCACTAATCAAGTTGTTTTTTTTTTTTCATTTTTTATCAAACGAAACCTTCGAATCGTATGGTATTAGATTACAATAGCTATACAGCTTATTGAAATAATTATTTACGAGTATTTTCGACTTGTATACTTGACGTCTAGCATCAACGACAAAAAAAAAAAAAAAAAACAACTAATTTCGTATCATACGGCGTGCACGACAAGTGTTGAATTCTCAAAAACTCAATGCACTTTACTTATCGTCTGGTGTGAATGAATACGTGTAAATGAACACTAACCGACCGGTCAAATGGTTAGTAAATTAGTATTGCAACATATATAAATAATAAACAAATGTTAATAATGCAGTCGAGTCTCGGTATCTAGAACCTCGACAACGCGAATTTTCTGTTGACCCGTGGAATTCCTATACATCGAGTTAAATTACTCGACTGTTTCTCGAACAAAACTCTTCAGTTTTATTCAGCCAATTGTGGCAAAAATTACAAAGCACGGTAAACAAAAACCGGAAAATCCTCCGGCACGGTTCGGTTTTTCTATAAGTTTAAAACCGTTTGCATTTTTAACGAATTTCAACTCCGAAAATACCAAAACTAATAATAATTATAATACAATTTTAATGCTAGACGTTATTTTTGCCCGTCTATGAACAATTATTATTACATCGTGACAGACCGATACTGAATCGTTGTGGGTTTTTTTTGTTTTTTATATACTGTACCAAAAAAATTTTCCAAATAATTAAAAATGTTCGGTAAAATCGAAATACCGAAGGTGACACGGCAAAAAGTTCTAAGCGACACGGTTTCACTGTCGGACGGATAAATACGTGTTTCGTCCATTGCGTGCGAGTGAAAACAGCTGTGATCATTATTTAACGACCAATTTGAATTTTAAGTTTGGGATATACCATAAATACCATTTTTTATTTTGTCTTCTCAATTATAGGGTCTAATCAACAATCCGTATTTACCATAGGAACGTACAAACAAAAAAATAGTGGTCAATAAAAAAATTCCCTATTCAACCGAAAAAGGTTAAACCTAAAGGCCAACCTAAAGAAAAAAAGGTAAAATCACAAATAAATGTATTTTGACACGAAAACTATGCATTTTGCACTTACAACTTTTTGCCGTTTCACCATGGGGATGTTAAAAGCCACACCTGCCTAGGTTTTTGATATTTTTGGATATTTCTCCGATATAAAAAAAAAATTGACTTTCCCAATGCACGTTGTGACTATGATATTATTGTAGACGAAATTTACTAGGTGCACAAACGGATTCAAACTCGATGTTGACTAGTGGTCAAACGTACAGCAATGACGAACGCAATAGCGTTGCGATCTTCGTACCACGTCATTTCCCAGAAAGCAAAAAAATATTTAAAATAACACACACACTGCACAGACACACACACACACACATCAAAATAAAATATAGTAAAACGAATAAAAAAAAAAAACATATAATATTATATAATACCATTTTATATTTCGGTATTTATAGGATATAATATTATATTTTTTTAAACGAAATGTCAAGAGAGAAAATATGAGAATAATAATACGAATATATACATATACCTTTATATGATAATATTCTAATATTGTGGACGTAAAATAAAATTTGCATATACGACTTTTTCAATGTCGGTCGAGATGACACAAGGAGACGACGACGTCGAGGGGTGAAAAACTATACCGGAAGCGCGTGTTATATTATTACAAATATTTAACCGAATTTTCGGTCGACCGGATACCACGCGCGGTTTCGTCTCTTTTTTCGAACACCGTCATTCCGTGTCTCTAAACGTCCTAGATCCGCAATAATCGGTGACGCGTCGTTTATATTTCTTTGTTTCTTTTCTAGAACGGAGAGATCGTTTCGTACAATCCAGCCGCTTATATTGTCGAAAGTATTTATTATCGTTCGGAACGGACGTTATTATTGACTCGCTGTGCGTTAACGAGCATAGCATAAAATACACAACTCTCTGAATCGGTTGAGGCACGTGTAAAAACTGGTGAAACAACACTCCGAGTGTTAGAGCTTTATTCGTCAATCCACCCCTAAGGATGATAGGGTATAAAATATTATTACGGCTTAAAATAGTCAATATACAATAAAAATTTTACGCTGTCCCATTGAGAGTAAATTTGTGTACCGCGACGAAACTAATAAGAAATTCGTCCACTAGGAGCGCTAGTGAAAAAACTTTATAGCGATAATTAATATGCGCAGTAATAAACAACTGCAGATATCTGTACATAATATAAGCTGCTTTGTTTATATTATTCATCAATCTCGTGTCCGTTATGGGATTTTATCGATTCGTAGATCGCACATCACAATGCGTACAAACCGTAATTAAAATGCAATTGGCGACACTTTAATACTCGTACAAAATTATTACACCGGTTTTCCTTTTTTTTTTTTTTTTTTTTTTTTTTTTTTATGGATATGTAATATACGAGATACGATATAAAGCAATACTATATTTAAAATCGTATTTTCCACTAAAAATAATTATTTAATTAACAAATTAACCATTTTTTTTTTTTTTTTTAGATTTATTTTTGTTTTTGTATTTATAATGGCTATACAATTTAATACTAATTAATTTTATCATCAGATAAATCAAAAAAGACAAAATATAAAATTCTCGAAAATTCACTTGTTTTGAGTAACTGCACTTATCACTACGAGGACTGTAGTAGAGTAGTACATGTTCTACATGAATGTCTCATCAATCAGATTTTTAATGTCTATGTAGTCGTCACGTAGGAACATCAAAATTATAATAATCTGATTGGACATCTAGTCTAACGAGAATGAGTTAAGCACAGTCTTTCACACGGGTAAATTGTATACTTCAAAACTACAGAGGCCGCCAAATGGAGTGAATGAGAGGAACATATTTTTAAATTTTTGATTGATCTCAGGCTTTTAGGACGGGAGGAAAAATGGCAAAAAATCAAAAGACGTACCAAGTTAAAAACTTTTCTCCATATGCCCTCGAAAATAAATAAAAATCTCTGAACGGATATTCGATTTTCGTATTTTCTGGACGATAAATGGCATTTAGGACGATATTACATTAAATCATAAACGTGTAAGACACTTTTTACGTATTTCCTAATTCAAAAGGAATCGGCTGCAATCAGACTTCCCGCATGTTTGTACATCCTACTGATTTTCCGGGAGTCTCGCGGCTTTTGGGACTACAGGTACTTACAAAATGTGAAAATCGAAAGTCTAATCGACGATTCCTTTTTATTGAGGACAAACGAAGAAGAATTTTAACGTACGGATTTTTATTTTTTGCATCGTTTTATGTTCAATATGTATTATAACATTAATTATACACGTATAACGTTAATAAAAATAATGTAAACACAAATAATTGTTTAAAATTCGGTCCCCCCACCCTGCTCATAACAAAAATCGTTTGGCCCTTATTGATACAACGGTATACGTAAAAGTATAGCATGCGAGTGATTTACCCGTAGACCCGTAGTACGGTTCCATTGTAGATCGCGCGAAAAAACGAAATAAATAATTGTGACAGGACGAGAGTTATAGTACAGAGCTATAGAAAACTAAAATTGAAAAATACGCGAAAAAATATACCGAAAGTTTTATTCTCGCGCGCACGTATTATATTGTAGTTTTTTGCCGAACGTCCGGATGAACTCGGCGGATAAATACCCGATATGATGAACCTGCGATTTTCTCGGAGGATTTAAAGTGAATTTGATTTCTGTTTTTTTTTTCAATCATTGTGGAATCGTTTACTTAAAATTGTTTTTATATTCACCCCTACTCCATACGCCATAAATCTCGGTTTTTGAACGTAAAATATTTTTCTCAAAATGTTTGCTTGTAAAACACTAGTATCTGATTTAACATTTGTGAGTTATACCCTACCCAAACCCCTCTCATTGATAAATCCTCGCTATACGACACTGATTATAACAGTTTAAAATTTAGACCGGAAGTGTTATGGTTTTGTTTTCTAAAATTGGATATGCAATTTGAAATTCAAAAGTATAAAATGTTTTAAAGTACGTGCGGTAAAGGGGAAAAATCGAAAATAAAGCTTATAAGAGATTTCAAAACGATCGAAAAAAAAAAAAAAAAACAGAAATCGAGTTCAACTAATAACATACGAGAAAATTATCGCTTCGTGATAAATGATCACCCTGTAGCATACGTATCTGGGCACTGAATTATTTCTGTAAGTTTTTTTTTTTTTTCGTGTCCCGTGTTCAATCAACCGTCCGCGGAGCGCGGTACAGTTTCTATATTATACGCGTACGTACAATATCGTTTCGGACCGTGATATTATATACGCGATACGTTCTCGACCGACAATCGCGGGTTTTCGGAGGCGGGGTCAGAGGAGGAGGAGGAGGAGGGGGGGGGGGGGTAGGGAGGTGCGGCACGCGAAAATCACGTGCAATAATAATACGCCGTCGTCGTATGTACGTACGCGCACAGAAAGAGACGGAACGGAAAGAAGTGTGCAAAGGAATGTGCGTGCGTGTGTGTGTGCCAAAGTTTTCGAAACAGGAAATTGACTGATCACTGACAAATAGCTAAACTACACGCGCGTCTCGGATAACTATCTGCCGGCTACAAACGCGAAAGTTTCGCGTGTGTGTGTGTGTTATTCCGCCGCCGCGTCTGTGTGCCGTATATTATTATTATCGGCTGCCAATGCGCCATTTTGGCCTTATTCTCGTTTTGGATCGCCGTCGCAATATTAACGAATACGGCGGACGTATATATAGAACCGCGCTTACCGCTCGTACTTGCTGCACGAGCGCGCGCAGGTACGCCGTTCCAGTTTCAAAAGCGTTCCAATTCAATATATTATTGTTATCGTTATTATTATCATTGTTATCGTTGTGTATCGCGGACGCGTGTTTAGAATCCGCCGCGGATTTCGTATGAACGAGCGAAAAGTGCGCGTGTGTAACGCACACGCGCATACTGATATGTCCGAAATTGCTCGTGACAAATGTCGCGCGTACAATCTCCGATTTTCACCGAAAATGAGACGAATGCCGTTTCGTAATGTGCAATTTTCAGCGCCGTATTCGGAGCCGTGAACGGTCGGACCCCGCGTTCTCGAAGTTAGCCCCGCCGAGTGGTCCGATCGACTTCAGACCCGCGCCAATGTTTCGCAAATTAGTTGCGTACGATTTGCAAATTGGTTTTTACGACTCGCGAATCGCACGGAGAGCCACAAATCCGATTTTTAGTTTCCGTCGCTGTGCTCTGATTTAAACTCGCGGCAGCCACTAGCCGTCAACATATGCCCACCGATATTAGAGAACACACGAATGTACCTAATCTATGGGTCAGCCATAACGGGGATATTATTGAATGGCGACGTACGTAGCCAGAAATGCCCGGTTCACGGTACGTCTACCCGGTCCCAATCGAAATAATTATCAAGGGGACGGCGGAAAAAATATAAAATAGTAGAGGGGGGCTCCGTCTTACCAATTCAAGCGGTTTATACACCGATATCGTTTCACACCGTTTCAGATATAAGTAACCCTTATAAATGTTACAACGCTATAATTACACTTTCATCCGAACGTATTTAAACCTGTACTCCATATAATTGCGGAATTTCGAATGTGTAACAAGTTGTCGTTTGAAAATCAAAATCAGGTAGACTTAGCGTTCTTAATTAAACTGTTTAAAAACAAAATGTCTTGCCGAAGAATGTTAATTTTTTTCCGAGATAACGAGTGTACGCCCGTTTGAATGGTTCATCTATAGCGGAGATGGGCAACTCGGTGTGACAAGAGGGCCAATTTTTAGGACTTAAAAATCTAGCGGGCCAGAGAACACAGATAGCAAAAAAAAAAAAAGAAAAAGGTCAATACAATTTCAAATTTACAAATGACATTTATTTTTTACATTTAATTATTTACGCATTTAATACATGTGGAGTTTATTAATTAATTTGAAAATGTAGCACGGGCCAGTAAAAAATGGTACGCCGGCCGGATACGGCCCTCGGGCGGCCAGTTGCCCATCCCCGACCTACAGGATATTTTGACTTTTCTTAGAAATATTTATACGTACAAATTAATCAGCCATCGTCTGTGGAATAAAAAAAAAATTCACCTAAATGCGGCGTGTGGATGTGCTACAATTTAGGACTTAAAAATCTAGCGGGCCAGAGAACACAGATAGCAAAAAAAAAAAAAAAAAAAAATGGCTCGCGACGCGTACACGATTATTTTTACACGGAAACGGAACGTATTGATTTTTTTTTTTCGTTTCTCGTAAACATCTACTTGATGGATTGTTTTGTTTTAATTTTTTTTTTTTTTCGTTTTTCACGGGGACCCGGTGAAATATATTATTTCGATTTGCACGCACTTGCAGTTCCGTTTTATCGCTTAGCGGTGACGTACGACTTGACGACGGTATTTTTTTTTCCCTCGAAATTACAAAATACGTATTTACCTATACACATTCGATGAAACGTAGGTACGTAGAAAACGTAATTTAATCAGTCGATAAATGTCTCATTATTATAGCACAGTGATTTTCAAATTTTTTTTTTTTTCTTAATCGCGTCTCTTCATACGTTTTTTGGACACCGAGTTTATCGTCATACATTCAAAACGTGATCGGTTTTATCGCAGCCAATAAGGTTTTAGCGCATGTTTTATCCGCTATTTAAATGCCGCGGCGGCCGTGATTTTTGCGCAATTTACGGTCGACGATTTTTTTATCGTTTGAACAAACGACCGCAAAAAAGTTCGGTTTGAGGCTGTCCGCGCCAAAAAGTGAACTGTACACCGCCTCACTATGCGACCGGAAGACGAACGCGGATGCGATATCACCGGCCGTATATCTTTTGAGTTCCTGTGCGTGTGTACGCGAATTTTCAACGCAAAACGAATGAAACGTTGTTTAAAACGTAGTGGCGTAATTTCGTTTTTCATCAAAAGCACTGCGGTTTTTAACTAACGGCTTTTCGCCGGCTTTGGACTTCGCACGTCGTTGGGACGCGTCAATAATAACAATGTATGAGGAGGGGTGCAGTTTCAAAGTGAGCGATTTCCGTGTTCACTAAATGTTCAGAGTACCGAAAAACCGAACGACTAAATCTAAAAACGTTTTTATTCGTACTGATTTTTCAAATCTGTCCGTATAGCTGTTGTGCAAGGACGATTTGTCGGTATTTCCTTAGAAAGACAATATTTTCTCTTGGTTTTGACGCGATTTCGATTGGAGATTGTACGGTATGGAGTTAACAATTGGATAGTGCTCGCTTTTAAAAATAACTTCAGGACTGTTAAATAACTTTTATTTTATTTTTATTTAGTTTAAAGGTTTACAAAAGAAAAAAAATCGAAAACGTTAACAACTATCGATTACAGTTATTAAAACTATTCTAATGGTAAACATTTAAAAACATTCGAAATGAAAAATAATATTTCAAAAATACTCAAGGTCAATAAGTAAGTCAATTTTCACCCCACTGTCAACGATTTACGGTACAATATTTTATCTATTTGTGTGACGTTATCGACGATGTTTATATTATCATAATATTGATCAAACCTATGCACCGGGGATTCAGTATTCGAACTTGTACATACTCACTCTGTTTAACCCATCTCAAAACATCCGTCATTAAAATCAAATTTAAACGTCCCCTTAAATACCGGAAAAATGAACGCCGATATTACTGGAAGGGGGACCACAGCTCCCCCACCCCAGAATAAGTTCTACGTTGCATTTATTTGTAATGTGCGAGCGATAAATACGCAGACGTGTTTTGTCTTTCGACATTCGTCAACACTGAAAACGCGTTAATTAATATGTTTCTGTTCTAACCGTCTGTGTATCGATTGCGTTCGTTAATGGCGGAATGAATTCTTTTGCAGGTGTGGCTGTTCGGGGACTTGCTGTGCTCCGTATGGTTGGCAGTGGACGTGTGGATGTGCACGGCCAGCATCCTGAACCTGTGCGCCATATCGCTGGACCGGTACTTGGCCGTCACCCGTCCGGTCCAGTATCCCAGCCTGATGACCAGCTTCCGGGCCAAGGTGCTGGTGGTCATCGTGTGGGTGCTCAGTTTCGTGATTTGCCTGCCGCCGCTGGTCGGCTGGCGGGACACGCACACTGACGCGGTGGACGACTGGTCACCGGGCGCGCTACAGAACGAGACGATCGGACTACCGCGTCCGCAACCGCCCCAAGAGGAACCCCTGTCGCCGTGCCCGTGGATATGCGAGCTGCCCAACAAAAAGTGGTACGTCGTGTACTCGGCGCTGGGCTCGTTCTACATACCGATGTTCGTCATGCTGTTCTTCTACTGGCGCATATACAAGGCGGCCGTGCACACGACCCGGGCCATTAACCAGGGGTTCCGGACCATGCGCAGCCGCCGCGCGTTTGGTAACCGGTTCGACGAGCAACGGCTCACGTTGCGCATACACCGAGGTCGCGGTTCGTCGCTCAAACAGGCCCCCCCGTCCACGACGGGCGCCATGACGCCCGTCAACGGGGCCGGCGGTGGATCGCCGGATATCAATAATAGGCCGCCGAGTCGGCGGCCGTCGGTCCGGCGCAGCAACCACGAGCGGATCAAAATTAGCGTCAGTTACCCGAGCTCAGACTGTATAAGCGCGGCCACGGTGGTGGCGGCCGCGTCCGCCGTCACGGCCAACAACAACCACACGGCCGCTGGGAACACGACCGCGGACGCCAACGGTAACGGCGGCGGTAGCGGTGGTGGCGGCGGTGTTAGTGGTGGTGGAGGCGGCGGCGGTGGCGGCGGCGGCGGGTGTTCGCCGCCCGAGACCCTCAGCCAAAAGTCTCGGAGCTCGTTTTCATCGACTACGTCGCCGACCAGTTCCAGTCCGCTGTACGCCGTCCACTACACCGCAGCAGAGACGTACCAGCACCAGAGAGTACCCAGCCGGAGCGTTATCGAATCGTCTTCCGCGGCCGCCAGTCAGCTCCGCGTTTCCGGCGGAAGTCGAAAGGAGAATCGGCGGTGCAGCGCGGGAGACACCGCGTCCGCGCACTCGCGTCTCCTGTTAACCTCGTCGTCTTCGACGGGTGACCAACACCATCACCTCGTCCATCACCTCCACCACCACCATCACGGAGGCCGGCCGCCGTCCGGATCGATCGTCTCCTGTAACAAGGAGCAGCTGTCGCCGTCGCCGTCGTATGACGAGTCGGGCGGTGGTGGCGGCGGAAGCGAAATCCAATGCGTGAACGAAGGCCAAAGCAGCAGCGAAATCCGTGGCGGGTCCGGAACCGGTAACAAGTCGTCCAAGCTGTTCGCGTCAAAGATGATGGGCGGTGGCAAGCGGAACATTAAGGCCCAGGTCAAGCGGTTCCGGATGGAGACCAAGGCGGCCAAGACGCTGGGCATCATCGTCGGCGGGTTCATCGTGTGCTGGTTGCCGTTCTTCACCATGTACTTGGTCCGCGCGTTCTGCCCGGACTGCATCCAGCCCACCCTGTTCTCCGTCATGTTCTGGCTGGGCTATTGCAACAGCGCCATCAACCCCATGATCTACGCGTTGTTCAGCAAAGACTTCCGGTTCGCGTTCAAACGGATCATATGCCGGTGGTGCTGTTGGGCGTCCGCCGGCGACTCGACGGCAGGCGGACCGGGTGCCGGCGGCCTGACCGTGGCCGACTACGGCCGCCGCAAGGGGTCGGACGGCTCGCAGCTGGGCGGCGGCAGCTACGTGGGCGGCAACGGGTCGTCGTCGCGCCGGAGATCGTACTGCGTAGTGAGCGGCGGCACCGGCGGCCCGGGGGCCGGCGGTTCGGACGAGTGCAGCGCCCGGAGCATGCGGCTGCTCCAGTACTCGGACAGCGAGCCGCTCAACGAACCGTGTTCGGACGACCGGTGATGACCGCGCCGGTACCGCAGTCACGTCCCGCGCGCGCTCGCCGGCCCGTGCGTTTTCGCGTTACGTATCGTCGGCATCGGTAACCGTTACTTTACAATAACGGACGCGATGGCGATTGATATTATTATTATTATTATTATCATTATTATTATTATTATTATTATTATATTATTATTACGTTACACGCGTTCCCGACGCCCCGTCGTTATCACTATTATTGCTATTGTATAACAGAAATACACATGTCTTGTACAATATAAATTGATAATATTCGCATTACGGTTATTAATATTATTCTGTGTCGACGTAAATATTATATATTATGTATTTTATCTTTTGTGTGTATTCTATCTTTTATCTTTTACATTCATACATTACATTATATGTGTACGTGTAAAAAAAAAAAAAAAAAAAAAAATCCCTGTTTTTTTTTTTTTTTTTTTTTTCTTGTCTTTTTCGTGTGTGACCCGGGGCAAAACGTATTGCGGTGAAACACGCGCGTTTACTCGCGCTGTGATTTTGACGACCGAACGTTGTAATTATAAATGTAAACGCGGGTCGGGTATCGTACTTCCGAACACTAATAACAGGGTTTTCGGAATATAATTAACCTCAAAAATAATATGTCCGTCTAACGATATTACAATCGCGAGCCCGCGTCAGCGGAAAATCCTCCTCGATCCGTCATAACGACACGCGAAACCGCACCACGCGTCGTCGACGACGGATATCGGGCGACAGGTGGCGCGAAAAAGAAAACCTTTCGTAAGCCCCGGAATCACAAAATAACAATAATTATTGTATTATCTATCGATTCAAAATTAATAAAAATTTGCTTTGCGGATATTACTCCATACCGCGATCTTAAATATAATACGATCGGGCCACTGATCCAAGTCCGTATCTGAGAGGTGTTGGGTATTCCAGAAGATTCGCCACCACCACCCCCCGAAATGTCTAAAATGTTTAAAATAGTTAATTTATTTTTCAACCAAGATTTAAAAATAATTAATCAAAGTCATCAAATTCCAATTAAATTGACAATTTGTTGTTTTTTACAGCGGTATTATTATATGTAAATTTTTGACAATTTTAAAAATTTTAACGTAATACCGTCATACTTTACTGGAGTTTCAAGTGCTCTCTAAAGGAAAAAAACAAAACGGTATCGGTAACCTAAAATTGCAAATCAAAGTGACCGTAAAATTAACACAAAGGATAAACTCTGCAATGTTCCGACGTTTTCTTGAAAAGTATTAAATTTTATCAGATATTTATTTAATTTTTTTTTTCTGGACAATTTAAGAAACAAGCGGCTCAAAAATGTTGTATTTCCATTACGCATCGTTATCCTTATTTGTGTAGTGGAAACCGCTACTCACTTTTAGATTTTCAAATTGCAACTTTTAAGAAGCGCTGCTAAACATTTTAATAAAATTAAAAAAAAAAAACGTTAACCCGTTGAAGGAAATTAAAAAAAAAAAAAAAAAAACGTAAACGCCGAAATGTATTTAAACTAAGACATCATCTGTTTATTGGGATTTCGCATTGTTAGTAATTGTTTGAAAACCAGTGAAAACGACGGTGACGAATAACAATAACGGGATTGTAACATTTCGGATCGGCTTGTTTGACTTAATTTTACGGGGTGGGGGTAGGAAAGGGGGGACGGAATTTCGAAAATAGCCAATACTCTCCGGGACAGTATAAAGCGTTTCGCACAGACGATTATTGACCGCCCTGTGTATTTCGCGGTTGGCTACAGTGGTCGTTTAATCGGTAAATTCGGAAAAAACCGCGATAAACGCATCGATCCGCTCCGGGGGTTTTTTTTTTTTTACGCACACACAACAATACGCGTATTATATACCCGCCTGGGAGGTATAATAATAATTATTACGCCCGCGCATATTTCGGTTATTATTTTAAATTTTTAATACGTTCGCGGGAAAGAGAGAGAGAGAGAAAAAAAACACAAAAACGTAGATGTATAAACAATCGCCATAAATTATACGGTACGTAATGTTATTAATAGCGCCCCGTATTGCAGTGCGCCACTGCCCGCCGTTGTTGTTGCTGTTGCGTAGCGCCTGCCCGCCGGTGTAAAACACGCCTCCGTTCAATGAAAAGTTTACTTTCGTGAGGGTATAATTATTGTTGTTACGATTTATTTTTACGTGGTATTTTTTTTTTTTTCTGTTTTTTAAACCTTTAACACGATAAATATTCGAAAACGGATGACGTATAGGGTCGTAAAACCCGGAGCCGGTAAAAACGGCGTCGTTTTTATTTTCCCGCGGTATTGTTATGTGCGCTAAACACGACGCGGCGCAAAAAAAAAAAAAAAACGTTGTTCGCCATTAAATGCATAATGCGATACACAATAATGTATTCCGAAAAATCTGACTGATGTAAACGCGCGCGCGGACGGGGTACAATGGACGCGGTGAGTCTATTTCGCCCGGGTCCCGGACGACGTTTTTCTTCGAAACATTGACGGGCGCACGGAAGCACAGTACCGTACGGTGAAAATACAAATTTCGTATGTGCCGGAGTATGAATAATTGCGAACTATTTATTTCCCGTGTAATTTTGTGTACGGCGTTATTATTCGCGTAGTTTTTTTTTCATTCGCCGCCGTCCCCACCTCAACCCCCTCCCACCCGTCCCTCCCACTCCAGCCCTTCTACAGCCCGTACGGCAATATCACAACGTACTTATTTTTTTTTTTTTTTTTTTACATATATAGAAAAGGCCAAAGGGCATTAAGGGTAAGGTACCTGCGATAGGGTCGATTTTTTTTTGGATTTTTTTACTGGTTTTTCGACGGTAACGGTTTCTACCGAAACGAGTCTCTCTCTTTTCCGCCAATACGCGCTTCCACCTAAAGGATATTGATCAATTCTCGTAAAAATAATCTCTGTACCGCTGTTTAAAAAAAAGTTCAATCCTTTCAATTACTGTATCCGATATACGTATAAAACACCGGTTTCGTTCACTGATAAAAAATATTTATTGTTGATGCGTGTTTACGCCGCGAGAATTTTTTTTTTTTTTTTTATGCTATTTTCTATTAATTCTCGAATGAAAATTTCGATGTTCTTATTGTTTTTTTTTTTTTTTTTACCTACGACGACGTTCCGTACAATCCGCCGTCGAGTATATTACGTTCGTTTTTTTTTTTTTTTTTTTTTAAACACGGTGACAGGAACGTCAACACGCTTGTTGTGGAATCGTATATTGGTGGAAAAAGGGTATGGTACATTTTTATTGAAAATAATGACGCTCGTTTTTTTTCATGGATCAAGTAACTAGTGAATTGCGTTTTGTAAATCTGTACGTCCGTCGGACATCTGTTAAGCAAAACGAGGTATTCGAGAAGAAATTAATTTAATTTAATTTTAGATTCCGAGCGTAGCGAAAGAGCCGTTGGTTTACTAAGATGTTTATTTCTTTTGTTTTTTTTCCTTTGTTCTAGTCTGGGAACACGTTTATTATTAGTAAATCTTGATTTTTACGTGTAGCAACTTTTCTGAAAGCTCGAGTGGCCTAGATGGTACATTAAATACGTCATTTTTTGATTTTCAGTTTTTAAATAAAATTTGATAAAATGTATTAATCGAAAAATTACACGATACCTTTTTTGGTTGCCTTTTTGATTTACTTTCTTACGGTATCATTGCCAAAACTTTTGGGCTTTTAAGGATTTTCGGAAGTCTTTTTACTGTAATTTGGTTATAAATATAGGTAGAGACTTGAAAATTGGTAATAACACTTATATTGGACTAACTTAGACGTGGTGAAATTTCCAAAATCATCGAACGACTTTTTTTTTTAATAAGCGTTTTGAAATCAAATTTAAACGAAAATAGCAAAATAAATTACGGCACTTCAAATTGCGCTCGAAATCGTCTTTCGTCAAGCAATGGTTTATCGTTGCTTATGGATATAAATGCAACAACTTTATGCATCTTACCTTCTCAACTTCTCACCTACAACCGTAGCCACTCCCATCTTCAGTATCAGCTCTTTTTTTTTCTCACTAAGCAATAAAGGCTTCAACATCTTGGTCATTAGCTTGTGTTTACAATGTTTACATTATAATAGTATTCAGTTTTAAATATAACTTAATTATAAGACATCTATTTAATTGTGCTGTTTTGTAACGGAATATAAATAAAACGTATAAAGTCATATTGTTCATAATGTCTCCCACGTAATAAATTGAGAAATAATTTTTGTTTTTTCCCAAATATCACTCTTTGCTAATCAGATGTCTACTGAGTAATATTCACTCAAAGCGTCGCAATCAACTAATTATTGTGTCAATGGTTTTTTTTTTTTTTTTTTTTATCGATAATTATACCTCATATGCAGAACAATTAATTATAATTATAATATATTTCTCTACATAGAATTTAAGTATGCTGAACAAATTTTGAGACATCTCGAGAAGCTGAGCTGGGTCAGTCGAAGGTCAGTTTTCCTCCCGTACGACTGATAAAAAAAAAAAATCATAGAACATAACTTCACATAATCTATTATTATATTTGGCCTTTCAATCAATTTAATTCACCCCTTGTATTTTTGCTTTTCTGTTATCGCCGCAGGAGTATACATTTTCGAGTACCCGTTTATATATTACTCTTATCGCGACGAAAACAAACTGAATACATTATAATGCAATGCACAAAATAATAATATTTTAATTGTGTCATCTTGCACAACCCGACGTCCTATAACTGCAGTACGCGCCGCGAAAAAACGCGCTAGACGCTACAGCGCGACACGTGACTGCAGTTTCTCTTTAATAGTCCGTAAATTGATACGCGCCAAATTGAAAACAGTTCGTAGTAACTCGTATTTGTGCATGCGGTAACGGGCAGCCGTAAAGGAGTAAATATTTTTCAGGCCCGCTGGCTTTTAAAAAATCCGCCACGTGGCACGCTGTATTCGAGCGCACGTTTTCGTGACGTGTACTGTATATTTTATGTACCTAATACAATAACATTATATTATTATGTAACGTATAAATTGTATTATAAATTATAATGCAAAGATAAGCATTTCTATTGAATGTACTATACGAATAATTATTGTAATACGATGTAATGATATAAATATTAATATAATCCTTAATAATAAAGCAAGACACAAGATACGAGTACATAAGACGATTTTTGTCAATTATTAATAAAACGAAATATTATAATATGATGTATATTTGAAATAAAACCATTGGTATAGTACAATTTTATTATGATTAATGTATATGTTGTTAATATTGTTTTAATGTCATTGTACAATTTTTCGAAAATATCAAACTGTAAGTGTTTGCATTGCATAACGTTCTCTGCGATGTTCCTTTTTTTCGTTCGGGCTCGTTTCGAATTTTTCGCAACTTTGAAGAGCTGATTTGTACACAACCGTGTTCGCAGCTGGACATGTACGCTTAAAACATCATTTCCGCCGACTATGTTTTTTTATGTGTTTCTATAGCATGGCTAAATAACTCGGTATAATTGCATATTATGAAAGGTGGTACTATGTAAGCGGGAAGCAGAGTATGCGGCTGCTCCATCTGTGGACACTTGCTCCCCTTATACGTATACGTTTAATAGGGCCCGTTTTACAATAGTGATTTATATCTGGATCGAAGTTTAATACTATCGCTCGAATCGAAACGGCCGTATTATTACAATACGATCGACTGGCTTTCGTTTAATCCGATTTAAAAGTAAAAACGGTCAAATACACAGAAAAAATAGATGACATATAATAAACTCTATGTGGAAAATAAACATGTGGATTCAAATACAAAAACTGATGTTCTTAATATGAAGATAATATAAAGTTTTCTGAGATTATCGAACAGCCAAAGATACAAAATAGATGTGGCAGGAGAATACTGTAAAACCATAAAAAAATGTATATGATTTATTTTGAAATGGGCACACATCCATTTTAATATTTCTTTAAAATATTTAATTTACGAATTCCGAAAATCAATTTACAAAATCAAAGTCTTTAACTTGCAATCGATCTGGTTCGATTTGGTCGATATGGTAGACAGCTTCACAAATGTAGCGAACAGACGTAATGGAACGCACGTGATACCAACTTGGTTACGTTTCGGCTTGGGCCGAATTCGGATACGGTTTGTAAATAAGGTTACCGGAATGTGTGTAAACGATAAACGAGATGATGAATTAGTTAGTATTTATCGTAGTGAACGCGATAATGGATCCAGACTTTAATTTTGAGAGAGGATGGAAAACCGTCCATACAGCGGCGAAACTTGGTATACTATATTTTACGATAATACAAGAAAAAAGCGCGCTATACTGCTATGTTTAGGGGGCAAGGGAAAATACCCTATTACCCCTACGGCCCTTAAATCCGCTACCGGATGAACGACGAGTAGACGCGATCATTTTATTGGTATAAAGAATATTTCACAACGAAAATGACTGTAACCTAAAATTTGAAAGAATCTGTATATTATTTCGTTTGAGAGTTGTACAGCGTGGACACATCTATAATGTATAACTAAACGATAATTATTCTGCTTGGTTTTTCATCGAATCAATGAATGAATTCTATAGTACGAACGTCGGATGTTGTACGCAGAATTTTAAATTAATAATATAATAAATTTATTGCCGTCGTCAGAAAATGAATCAATAACATAGGCTGCTTTTGGTTATTTACGAAAAACGAAATAATGTTACCTATAAGATCGTACGCCAATATAAATTAAAAACAAAAAAAAAAAAAAAAAAAAACTTTGAATATTATTATAATATTATTCAAAACTGTATTGTCCATAAAACTTTACGATACGTAATTTATATTATACTATAACGTAATATAGTACACGTATTAATAATTGCCGAGACCTTCAAGATTAGTTTTTGACATGTAATTCGGTTATACGTATGCGCGCTGCTGTGCGGTATACTTACCGTTAACGATGGAAAACGGCGGAATCTTTTTCGGAAGGACGTGAGGGAGGTAGGTGGGGATGGGTAACAACCGCTAACCACTCTCGGTTTTTGGCAATTTTCCCTCGGGACGATTATTACAGCGTCGTCGTCGTCGTCGTTATTTGTTCCGTCTGGCAAACGCCAAATCGCCAACAATCCGGCGCCGTTGCAAAGTACGTGGCCGCGTGTATTATACTTATACAGTAACGACTGTGCCAAAACTGACATTTTACTATTCTTTCGCTGTGCTTTTGCCCGTTTGTTTATAGTATTAAACGATTCGTCTTATCTCTCGCTTCAACCGCGACTATTAAACGTCTTTAATTCGACAATATACAATACTGTACCGTGTGTAGACGTAATATAATATGGTTTCGTATAAATACGGCATTTGCCAATTCAACTCGTGTTTTCCGAGACAAATGACAGGTTATTAACGCATTTTTAATTCTGAGCAAAGCGAGTAATGCATAGGTTTTTTTTTGTTTGCGGCTGTAAACATTTTTTTTTTTAACCAAAAATCTTGCTCTAATCAATTAATTAAAAAAGACATTTTTTGTAGATTTATGGATCTAGTTGGTGTGTTGAGAAGTTTATTTTTTTATTTTCCGAGCAGTGTTAATGATAATTAATAATGATCAGGAAAAAACTTAGGGAAATAGGAAAATTTACAGCAATAATAATTTCATTATTTATGCTTTTTTTTTTTTTTTTTTACCATTTGGATTAAAAATAATTGTACAAAACTAAAATGTTCGTATAACATTAAATTAGCTTATTACAAGCGTAATAAAATTTCGAATCATTTTGTTTATTTTTAAATGTTTATCCACTTAATTTATTTGTAATTTGTAGAATTGTAGAAATCTTTTTAAGGTGTATCTAATGTATTAATAAAACAATATTTTTAACAACATTTTTAATGTTATATTCAAATACATAAAACAAATTATCTGAATACAATTTACAGAAGTTTTCAAAAATGTATTTTGAATAAATTTTAAATGCATTTTTAACAGGCTGCGATCGGACTGTAGAAAAATGAAAATAAGAAGATTTGAAGTCGATATTATATGCCATACATACTTAAGTCTTCTTCTTCTTCATCTTCATCCCAGCTATTTAAGGTCAGCTATTTTAGTCTTTCTTTTGAACTTTCACTTACTCCTATCTTCCACTTCGTCTACGCTGACTGTCCTGAAGTGACCTGAGGATTCATCATATCGTTCTAAATCGCATCCAATCCTCTCTTTTTTGGTCTTCCTCCTTCTTCTCCTTCCTCCTGCATTTATTTTGTATTACCATTCTTACTGCTTCTGATTCCTCTCTCATCGTGACATTGTAACATGTCAAATTATTTCAATCTACTTTCTCTTATTTTTCTACTAACGAAACCTTGTCTCACTTTTTTTTTTATCGGCATACACTCACCACCCGAAAATATCGTTAAGTATTTCGTCATATGACGGCTTATATGTATGCACTAAATGTTTTTTTTTAACTACAATTCTCTTAATTAGCTTCATGTCCGGTTTGGCCTATCACCCTGGACGTCCCGTTCACGTCTAGGTCCTTCACGGGTCAGCAATGCCCGTAGCTCTAATCATTTCATACCGACCTGACCCTCTTCTAGCAGCTGCTGTATCTATTTAGCTATTAATGCTTCTACTGCTGCCATGGTGGCTGCGTGCAGTCCATTACCAGGTGGCCTTTCCTTGGCACTGATAGTACTAACAGGCCTTGTTTGAGATATTTCATGGCTAGATTGTACTTTTTCTGACAACGGAAGCAGATTAGTGGGCTACTCACCGCGGTTTTATCAGCATGGTGGTATTCCGATGTGGTAGGACCATTCGGGCAATAAACTCGCCTCGGCCTCCAACTTTTCTGTGCATGGAGACCTCCACGTTACCACCATCGATGATTTCTACCTGCACAAGTTCTTTTCTTTCACCCACTCCGGAAAGTCAAGTGATATAGTGGTACTATATTCTCTCGTCACTACGCATTCACTAAGGCATTCTCATATCTAATATACTTATTCTCTAAAGCACCCGACGCTTAGGTATACCCACTTTATCCAACTGCACTTAATTTTAAGTCATTTTTTTCATGTCTTAATAAAAATAAAGATACATGTTAGTTTTTTGATCCCTTACTATTATATTTGAATATTCTATATTATTTTAAAATTATTTACTATGAAAATAAACACTCAATCCACTACGAAGAAACTGGCGTTGAAATAATTGTTCAAATGGATCCATTTGCACGCGTTTTTTCCAAACACCAAATATATTAAAGGTATATATAGGATATACTTATGCTTAATATATTGTAGGCCGAGACGCCTAATAGTGACAGATATTAGATACACAGCTAGGACGGGGTAGATAATGTAACCCTTTTTTTTTTTTTTTTTTTTTTTTTTTATTGGTTACATTACTTTTAGTACATTATAGATCATTGTATATTCACGAATTCAAAATTCTACTGATTAATATCTTTAATATCTGTGCCAAACACGCAGATTAAATTAATCGTTATTTACAGGCAGCAGTTTATCACAGAATTTATAAAGGATAATAATAAATATCATAATAATCATTGACAGCGGCCGGCGTATTATTATTATAACAATGAAGTTGGACTTGGTTACATATACTAATGTAGTCACCATCCCCGTACACAGTGAACGGATAAAATATAATCAACACTATATGTCATATTCTATCAGACAAAAAATAACCAACAACTGCGTTATGAGTAAAAGTTTGAAAATTGCTTCCCGGGAAATCTAATAAACAAAATTGAAATTCTTTCGTAGCCACACAAACGCGAAACATTATGTCACTGCAATCTTGAATATCGTATTTATTTATTTTTTTTTGTTTTTTTTTTTTTTTTTTATTAATAAAATATAATATTAGCATATTTTTCTTTGATACACATGAAAGTAATGTTATAATATTATAAAAAAAAAAATCAAAATTCGTTTACCCATATATTTCGATTATTACCATTGTCTATTATATGACAGTGAGTATAACAAAGAAAACAAGCTATTAGTTTTACAAAAATGTGGGTTTTTTTTTACCGAAAAATAATAATACTTCATTTTTCTCATACCCCAGATACTTCAAAAGATGCGGATTTTCGCGATGATTGATGATACTCTATTTGAAACATAAATTGAACTTTTCAACAGTTTATTCCGTTGTTAATTATTTTTTATTAGGTACTATTTTTTTTCTGTAAACAACTTTTCTACCAGAAATTTTAGGAAAAACGGAAAAATGTACGAAATTTATTATTTTCAAATCGTAAATATTACGACCTTTCAAAACATGTATACCCGAATTACGCTCACGGTTAATCATTGCGTACAAATACACATTAATTTTCCCCCCGTACTATACGACTATATTAAAATAAGCTTTTCGAAAACGTTATTTCTAAAATGTGTTCGGCATATATGATCGGAGAAAATCGTTCGACGGTCGTATTTATATACCTAGATATCTACCATATAGATATGAGCCCATATACCATTATGCGATTTGTTGGTACGCCGTGTTCAGTTTTATGAAGAATTTCCTTTAGATATTAATTTTACTGTTATTTGTTTCCAAAATAAATTTAAAATAAAAATAATTTTTTGTAGGCATTAAAAATACGTATTGATTTAGTAGTCATTAATTTTAAATCTCATAAAATTACACTCAAGTCCATTATTAGGTAACAAACTCCTTATCAATTATCGTAAATCGTAGCGAAATTGCTGGTAAAAATGTTGTCCACAGAAAAAAAAAAAATACATTAATAAACATTGTAAAATCAATACTTGTCTCGTTCCACTCGGATTCTGAATTATTACAAAAATTAATCGTTTACGAAGTATAATATTACCGTTTAAAATTTATCCAAGTACCAATTATGCCTACCACACGTACCGTCCGAAAGCGCGGCACGGATATTTATGATATTGTTACCTCTTATTATTATTATTATTATTATTATACCTATATAACAAGTATAAACTGCGACGAAAGACATCGTTTTATATTATCGCGCGCACAATAATATGAACGAAAAACGAAAAAAAAGAAACTAAAATTTGATAAAACTTAAAAATATATATTTTCATCATTATACTTTATTTGACATCGTGACAAATAAATCATTGGTCTAATGGCGACAAAAAGCTATGTGTGCCATTGAATACCTTTGGTATCATGTTGAAATACTCAGAGAAAGTAGATATTTTGTTTTCCCTTCTCGGCCTATTCTAATTGTGTCCCTTAACATTGTTTGATAGGCAACTAAATTTAAACTGTCTATACCATTGTTTTTGTTATATTTTAATTATTTTTTTTTTTTTTTGTTTTTATAAGAACTACATCCCCGGGCGTTAATAGTGTTATTATAGATTAATATTGATTAATAACGGTCCAACATTAACGTTATTTACGAAAGTCGGTTAATATTTTTTGGACACAAAAATATTCATGAAAATTTGATTGCGAGCTTATGATTCGAAATGCAATTAAATTACTGGCATAAATTGCGAAAAACGTGTTTAATAATTAATATTAGTACAATACAGTAAAAGACTAAATGTATACTAATGTTCGTTAACGTATATACCGTTAAAATAATTATATTTATAAGGAGTTAAATAATTTTTTTTTTTTTATATATTTATCTTACTTTTAATTAGATAATGGAAAACTTGAATATAAAGTATAATACTTCATGACGCACTGGAAAAATATATGGTTTTTTAATTTTAAATAAATAAGAAAATAATTTACAAATTGACAAAAGTACAAAAATACAGGATGTCCCACGAAGGTTGTATACCCGTTGTAATATTACCAGAGATAATAGAGATAATGGAATTCTGTTTTGTTTTATACTACTCACTGAGATAAGGATTACAAATATTTATATTTTGGTAAAAAAACTTAAAAAATAACTTTTTTTTTTTGTATATAGGCCATTTTTATAGTAATTTTATAAAATGTATTCTCCTGAAGATGTTGACGTATTAATATTTTACTTTCATCAAATTTGTAATTTCTAATAATTTCTTAAATTTCAGAGAAAAGAAGTGTACGGTAAATAAATTTTAGTAATAAAAATCGATTAGCGAATATCCTGCTGCATAGTTATAGGTATTTTTCTCTGAACTTTAAAAAATTATAAAAAATCACAAATTTTACATCAGATTTCTGTAATAATAATAAATAGACTGTAAATTATTCAAATATCACAGTAAAAATATATTTTTATTTGTTTGTATATAAATAATTATTTATCTACAATATTTATGATTTTCTTGAGAATGGTTAATGTAAAATCACTAATTGTACCGCGTTCATGTATTTCATAAATAATAATAATATGCGAATACTGATTTAGAGCTATTTGTTTTATCATCAAGATATTTTTTTATCCGTCCGTAAAAATAGCACAATTTTTACCACGAAATTGATCCACAAATAAAATTTTAGTATTTCTGCCTTGTGGTACATTACATTAGTTC